AAAATAACAAGTAAACATACCAATCGGTTTCCTTATTAACACGAGGTCTGATTCTCGGCTTGGTTTGCTATTTCCGGCATCATTTTGAGCACTCACTCTGAATTCAAATTCCTTTCCCTTCTTGAGTCCATTAATGATAGTATGACATTCTGGAACGATTTTTCTAGTAGCTCTCATCCATCGCAGACCACGGGAGTCCTTCATTTCAACTATGTAGTTAGTAATTTCGGCACCACCGTCATTTCGTGGAGGGCGCCATGAGATAGAGACAGATTCGTCGTCGATCGTTAATACTTCAGGCATTCCTGGCGGATCTGGTACGTCTGTGGGATTGAATTCATCAATAAAGAAATCATAAAAAATAATCCACTGTATATCTAATTCATACATTACTGCACATACACACAATAGTCACAGTAATTTATTTATTAAGATGTTTGCCCTGTAATCATTGCGACATTAATTTGAACCTGTAAAACTAGACTTTTTATTCTCAATACTGAGAACTTAGGGATTGCAGAGTCATGCGTCCCGAAGTAGTTGCCTAGGCGATTAACACATGTATATACCGGATGTATTTTATATCTTATGCTTTGTCAATTTTAACCAGTAAACTGTAATTTTATTGCGGTGAAAAGTCAAGGAACACGTTTCGCATGATGAACATATACTATTGATTAAATGGCAAAATACTGAAAAACAAAAAAGCTGTGGGAAACAATGTCAATAACAATGACTGAAAAAGCAATAAAGATACAAATTTGATAAGCAACAGCTAAAAAGTATACGTAAATAAACTAAATTAGAATTGAATTAGTTTTAGACCCTATTAATATATCACGAAGGCTAGGTGGTCTGCGATATAGGCGATGAACGGTGTATCTGGAAAAACAGACCTAAGAAGTTCTGTGGTCTGTAGGATGGGCATATGTTTCTAAATTATAGCCCTTAGTGGTGGTAGCCTAGGGTGGTATGTAGTGACCAGTGGCGCTCTGGTCGATCGCTGACCTGGTCTGTACGTCAGTTTTTAGCACGAGTTATGCCCTTTGCTTTTTTGATAGCAGTTGCGATGGGTGCTCGATGATAATTTTTATCCCGCGAATGTCAGTACTTCTGTGCGATTCTGCAAATCAAAATCCGAAAAAACAAGTGCGTTTCATGTGCATTGCTTGGTTGTACAGAATGTTGTATTCAGTGCGTGGATGACAGCTACTAAGGAGCATTATATAATATATTGAAGTTTAGTGTATATCATTACATTTTTTTTTATACCTATTTAGAATAGTAAATAAAATATAAACGAAAGTAACATTTTGTCTTACCATATGGACTCTTGATTAAAATGGCACGATCAGATTCCAATGGCTCACTCTGTCCATGTTTATTTTGCGCCCGAATTTTGAATGTGAATTTATGGCCTTCTGGGAGGTTTGTTACGGTATATCTGGTGCCAGTCACAGATGATGATACCCGTGACCATGTCAATCTATCAGCTTCGCATTTCTCAATGACGTAATTTGTTATCTCACTTCCACCATCATCAAGTGGAGGATTCCACGACAGTAACACTGAATCTTTTGTTGTACACGAAATACCAAGCGGGCCTTCTGGTTTCCCTGGTTTATCTGTATGATTGAAAATAGAATAGTAATAAAAACTAACCAAACGTTATTAAATGTGCACTTAAAGAAAGGTATGTGCATTGTTAATTTAAGTCATTATAAAGCACATGCCCTCCGAGGTTTTAGTTGTATAAAAATATCCCGGGAGGGATCTCAACCTGCAACATCTCGCTAAAGCGATTATCATAGATCACAGAGACATACAGTATACCCGACGGTCTCACGTGAGTAGTTCATTAGGCTAGTTAAGTTTTCCTTTATTATAAGGCCCCAGCCTCTAATTCCCATTCGATAATAAATAACTCCCTAAAATGTGTATAATAGAGGCTTCAATTGTTTTATTTGTGGCTATATTATTAACATCTACCGATTGAGCCTGCGCTCAACTGGAACCCGAGCCCCCACGATAAGATAAACTCGTGGAATTTTAATAACAGATGGTTTGTCTGAAAATAAAAAAATGTACTATCATTATTAGCATTAATATTATTATTACTGTAATTATTATAATTACTCTCGATAATAATGTTAATAATAGGCCTATACTGAATATTATTATAAAATTATTATTACTGTCTCTTATACACATCTAGATGTGTATAAGAGACAGTCTTACAAGAGTTGATGACGTATCTTGCCCAACTTTGTTGGTAGCAGTAACGGTATAACTGCCACTGTCCGCACGCTCGGCTTTGCGTACCACCAGGATAGCACTGTACTCAGTTTGCTCAATACTCAATCTGGTTGTGGCTGAGATTGTTTTCACATTCTTTTCCCATTTCATAACAGGTTTTGGAGTTCCTTCGTATGGTATATCTATTCGAAACATTATTCCAGCACGCGTAATTATCTCTCTTCCTGCAGATAAATCTAATTTGAACTTAGGCACAACTGAAAATCACAAATATAGACCGTGGTTTAGAAATAATAATGTTATGGGTTAAAGGTACAATTTTGATCGATAAACGCGTCAGGTTTTGCGATCAAAATGTCTATACAAATTTAGAATATTACTATTATTACTATCATTACCTGTCTCTTATACACATCTAGATGTGTATAAGAGACAGTATATATACATGCTGATTTTTTTTTCTATTTCACAGAAACCAATATGTTATGCTAAGATGGACGGCTTACCCAATACAGTTACTTTGATTGTAGCTGAATCTGTTCCCGCCTTGTTTTCAACAGATATTCTATAATCACCTCCATCACTACGTACACAATTCTTTACTGTTAGAACATTACTATATGACGTACTTGTAGCACGAATTCTGAGATCTTCTACAATATGTACGGTATCTTTAAACCACGATGCCGTGGGTGCTGGTGTTCCACGACATGGAATTTCGAGATGGAAAACAGATCCCGCCCGGACAACAATGTTTTTACAATGGCCAAGATCAAGTTTAGGTGCAGCTAAAAAACAATAACAAAATATATAAAAAGAAATGGTAAACTTGAATATATAATAAAGAATTTATTTTGAGTTTATGACTATGTAAGTATGTGTTTTAAACCTACCAGCTGGTCGTTCAATCATAACCGGATGAGAAGAGTCGCTTGGTTCTCCTATTCCTGCCTTATTGACGGCAATCACACGGAACTCATACTTAGTATTTGTGATCAGACGAATAATTTTACAGTTAGTTCCACTAATGTGAGGTATTGTGGCCTTTGCCCAGTTTTGCATCGAATCATTTTTCTTCTCAACAATATAGCCAGTAATAGGGGTTCCGCCATCGCTTTTAGGAGGTGTCCAGGTCAATGTTGCTGAGTCTTCTTGGATGTCGCTAACAGATGGAATACCTGATTTTCCAGGGACACCTTCATTAAGTTAAACAAATACAATGAATAAGACTACAGCTGACGATCTAAGAACAGCATAACATTCATAACGTAACATCATAAGAAATATGAACATTCTACAGTTAATTTAAATCAAATATATTACAAATTATTATAATAATTATTATTAAGCTTATTACAATTATTATTATTATTATTATTATTATTATTATTATTATTATTATTATTATTATTATTATCATCATCATCATTATCGTACTGTAATCTCCTTTCGGAATAACTTTTTCGCCTTCTAGTGGTTCACTGACGCCATATTTGTTCTCGGCTCGAACTCTGAATTGGTATTCGTTGCCTTCAATAAGCTTCGGAACCGTTGTCTTTAATTCATTCAGTGATGCGGAAACTTTACTCCACATTTTTAAAGATGAATCTCGTTTTTCCAACAGATAGCAAATAATCGGGCTACCACCATCATCTCCAGGTGGACTCCACGATAACGTTACACAATCACTGTTTAGCTTCACGATTTCAAGTGGTCCTTGTGGTGGTTCAGGTCTATCGACAACTCTTACAAGAGTTGATGACGTATCTTGCCCAACTTTGTTGGTAGCAGTAACGGTATAACTGCCACTGTCCGCACGCTCGGCTTTGCGTACCACCAGGATAGCACTGTACTCAGTTTGCTCAATACTCAATCTGGTTGTGGCTGAGATTGTTTTCACATTCTTTTCCCATTTCATAACAGGTTTTGGAGTTCCTTCGTATGGTATATCTATTCGAAACATTATTCCAGCACGCGTAATTATCTCTCTTCCTGCAGATAAATCTAATTTGAACTTAGGCACAACTGAAAATCACAAATATAGACCGTGGTTTAGAAATAATAATGTTATGGGTTAAAGGTACAATTTTGATCGATAAACGCGTCAGGTTTTGCGATCAAAATGTCTATACAAATTTAGAATATTACTATTATTACTATCATTACTATTATTACTGTCACTAAATACTTTTATTACTATGTTAACTATTATTACTACCATTACGATTATCACTACTAATATTATTATTATTATTACCATCCGTCATTATCATCATCATCATCATCATTATCATTATCATATTATTATTTACTTTTTGTAACTAAATAGTGTCAATAAAATTCCTCCCTTCAACATTCTTACACATTCCTACCAATCCTTTGTTCTACCTTACTTACTTTCTCCGACCGTATACTGTGTCCTTTAGTGTGTCTAATTGTTACCAGTTACCATGCTTTTTATGTAATGTAATTTTAATAACTTATTAGACCTTGACTGTGGCAAACATACATTGAACTGATTTATACTAATATATATTCGAACCAAAGACTAACTGTTCAATTTCAAAGAAAGCCAAAAATACACAAACTACAAAACTTACCTGGAGGATTCTCAGCCGTAACAGAATTGGAAGGTTCACTAGGCTCACTTTCTCCAGCTTTATTGACTGCCGTTACTCTGAATTCATATTCATAACCTTTGCTGAGTCGAGACAATTTGAATGATGTATTCTTGATTGGTGTCAACGATGCTCTAATCCAACGGGAGCTTGTAGTTTGTCGCATTTCTACGTTGTAACTTGTAACAGGTGCGCCACCATCCCTCAATGGCGGATACCAATTCAGTGTCATTGATTCAGCTGTGATATTACTAATTTCAGGTGTAGATGGTGGGTCTGGAACAGCTGCAGTACAAATTTCAAAACAATATTATGAACAAATGAACAAATGATTCACTTTGAGTTTGAGAAAAAAATGTATACTCGTTATAAAACAAAAGGTAGCCTACCGTATTTTCCTCGTGGTCGAATACGATCACCATCCAAATGTTCACTGTCGCCATGTTTGTTACGTGCAAGGACTCTGAATTGATAACGTCTATCCTCTGTTAGTCCTTTTACACGATATGATGGCTCTAATATGAGTTCCTTTGTAACCGGATGGAATCGGTGATGACCTTCTTCACGCTTCTCGACGACATAGGTCATAATTCGTTCACCACCGTCATCTTTTGGAGGTTTCCATGTCAATGTGACGCAGCTTTCGTTTACATTACTGTATTCCAGTGGGCCTTCGGGAGGACTTGGAACGTTAAGAACCTGAACATTAAAATCAGCAGCATCAGTTCCAATTTCGTTACTAATAGTGACAGTATACGTGCCACTATCGGTTCGGTCACAGTTTTTGATCGTACAAACCGTGGCGTTACTTGAAGACTCAATCTTATATCGAATATTTGGGATAACCGTGGCTCCATTTTTACTCCACTTCACTTTTGGTGTTGGATATCCTCCAAATGGCACGTTGACAATAATAGTTGTTCCAGATTTTATTGAAATCGAATCGGGTTTTTTGTCAATCTTTGGTTTAACTGAAATGTAGAATGATCGAAACAATGATCAGAATTATAATATAATCACAATCTTACAGTCCTGTTTGTGTAATTAATAACATGTGGATATCTAGTTTATGGATCTTGAGTGACCCTATCCGAATGTATCGTCCTTGTACTGTGCTAATTCAATAAAGACTTTTGATATTGTGTAGATATTATTGTTATTTGTAATATTGGGGTAAACATTACTCTAAATCAAACTGAAATTTAAAATCAAATTCATTTTAGTACAACCTATCAAATAGCACAAATAACTTGAAGCCAACCTGATGCCTCTTCCGCTTTCACTTTTTCTGTTGGAGGACTGAATGGACCTGTACCGACTTTATTCTCTGCAGCAACACGGAACTCATAATGCGAACCTTTATTCAATCTGCTAACTCGGTACTTGAGCTCTTCCGGCTGTATATTTCCTACCTTAGTCCACATAGTATTACCGATTTCCTTCTTCTCGACAACGTAGCCTGTAAGAGGAGTGCCGCCGTCATTTGACGGTGCCAACCAGGAAAGCATCACAGAGTCGCTTGTTGTATCCGAAACTCGTGGAATTTTAATAACAGATGGTTTGTCTGAAAATAAAAAAATGTACTATCATTATTAGCATTAATATTATTATTACTGTAATTATTATAATTACTCTCGATAATAATGTTAATAATAGGCCTATACTGAATATTATTATAAAATTATTATTATTATTATTATTATTATTATTATTATTATTATTATTATTATTTCCAGTAGTACTATAGTATTACTAAAATTTATATTGTTATAATATCGTATAATTATTACCATTAAGAATTTTATTATTACTAATAACATTTTTATTCCATTTATATTAATTATTACTATTTAAAAAATTACCATTACTATTATTACTATAATAACTAGCATCATCATTACTATTAATATATCAATTATTATTATTAACATTATTATTATTATTATTATTATTATTATTATTATTATTATTATTATTGAGGAGTGGAGTAACCCATTTATTAGAAATATTTACTTACAGATGTTTATTGTGGGTGGAGAAGATTACATTACAATATCATTCTTACTTTCATCATTTTAATTACCACCATCACCCCATCAACATCGACAACAGCCTGTATGCGTTTAATACAGGAGTAACTAACCGTATTTACTCTTTAGAACTGCCGACTGTGAGTCCTCAAGTGGTTCGCTCTCACCGATCTTGTTAACAGCAACAATTCTGAATGTGTACTCATTTCCCTCTAGTAGGTTTTGTACCCTGTGAGTGCAACTAATGATTTTCAAAGGAACACGGGACCACGATGTTCTCTTACTGTCACGTTTTTCTATTATGTAATGAGTGACACGACATCCTCCATCATCTATAGGAGGGTTCCAGTTGACTGTAACTTCAGTACTGTTAACGTCTCGCAGCTCAACAGGTCCAATAGGTTTTCCTGGCTTATCTTGTACTTGGACCTTAATCTTTGCAGTCACTATATCACAGTCATTATCTACGGATACTTCGTAAAGTCCTTCGTCGGCTTTTACACAGTTCTTCACAGTCAATATAGTACTTCTTTCTGTTGTGTCAACTTTGACTCTTGTTGAAGCTTGAATTTCTTCACCATTTTTGTTCCATTTCACAGTTGGCATCGGGTATGCCCTCCATGGAATGTCAATGTAAAAAGTTGTTCCTGCTTTTACCACCATAACATCGCGGTACTTGTTCAAATCAAGTTGGGGTGCAACTATTAATGAATAAATAATAATGAACTTGTAAATTATGAAAAAGAATAAGTTACTTATATTTTATTATTGTGGTTCAATTATACATTGAAGCTAAGATTAATACGTTATTTGTAATGGCGTAACATACCTGCTAATCTAGTGACGCGTGTTGACTGACTAGGTCTACCAACACCCTCTTTATTTTCTGCTGATACACGGAATTGGTATTCGGAATTTTTATTGAGGTCAGTGACGTTATAGGAACACTCTGTTACTTGTGATGTGTTGACTTTTGTGAATTTTGAACTGAACCTTTCAGCCTTCTCGATGACGTAGTTTATTATCGGGCTACCGCCATCAGAAACTGGGGCCGACCATGTCAATAAAATGCTGGATTGAGTCACTGATGATATCTCGGGTATACCAGTCTGTCCAGGCAAGTCTATAAAAGTGTATAAGAAACATAACAAAATTAAGTTGTAATAGCCAGTTAAAAATGTAGGCGCTAGTGATGATAAACGTAAAAAAACTAAACATTACCGAATGGTGACTTAGCAGTTGCTCTATCTGATGGTTCACTTGAAGGGCCTAGCCCTGCTTTGTTCTCCGCAGACACACGGAACTCATACTGAGAGCCCGTTTTGAGATCAGTAACAATACACCGGGTATCAACGACTGCCGCTACTCGAGTCCACTTCAATGAATATCCTTCGCAGCGTTCCACAATATATCTTAAAATTCGTGATCCTCCGTCGCTTCTTGGTGGAGACCACGACAACGCGATGGCCTTTTCAGTTATGTCGTCGAGCTGTGGCGCAGATGGTGGGCCCGGTGGATCTTAAAACAGAAAGTAATTTATTTTAAAATGATAACAGCATTTAGGGCTATATAATCGATTATGATTTTAATTGTAAATATTTAAAATGTATTGTATAAATAAACTTAAAATTATAAGATCTTGGATTAACTTTGCACTAGCTGTCTTAAACTGTTCAACTATTTACGTATTCCTATACAAAACGCTTTTTTTAAAAAACGAAATCAAATCAATTCAAGGCTGGTGTGAATTCCTAGCAACGCATGTGCTTTAAAAAATCCTAATTATTTAAAAACTTACCATGCGCCAAATTCCTCTAATATAAGGTCAATTGTATAAACTGAGTGTAACAATAAATGCATTTTTACTATATTAAATAGCACACAACATACGAAACTCAGCCTACCATACGGTGGTTTGGGAAAAGTGGCTTTAGATTGTTCGCTGGCTGGCCCTATTCCTGCCATGTTTTCAGCAAGTATTCTAAACTGATACTCCAAGCCGCTTGTAAGGTTCTCAGCTGTTAAATTGTTACTATTAATCGGAATGTGATTTACTGGTAACCAACGCAACGAGTATTTATCTTTCTTCTGCACGATATATCCTGTGATTGGTGAGCCACCATCAGACGAGGGTGGTTTCCATGACAGAGAAATTGTTGTTTCAGTTACTGATGACACTTCTGGTCGTTTTGGTGGCCCAGGTACATCTGAAAATACCAAAGACCCACAAGTAATTACTAAATTAAATTTGTTTACAATATAGTTTAGCAAGAAGAATAAAAAAAACCTACAAGAATAGGCCTAAGAGAATAGATTCTTGTTATTCAATAACAAAAAAAAAAAAAAAAAAAAATAGTAATTTATATTTATTTATGTGTTTATTTCATGTATAAACATAAGTATTTGGTAGAAGGTATCTTACCATATGGATGTTTCGCTGCTTTGGGGTCACTGCTATTGCTAGGCTTGCTGGTGCCAGCTTTGTTTATTGCAATCACCCTAAATTGATATTCATTGCCTTCGTTTAATCCAGTTACTGTGTATGTCGTTCCTAATACTTTATCCACCAGACTCCAATGACCATACATAGGCTCTTTCTTTTCTATTATATATCCACTTATGGGACTACCTCCGTCGGAAGCTGGAGGACTCCAAGTTAACGTCATAGATTTAGGAGAAACATCTGACAATAGCGGCGTAGCCGGTGCATCTGGAACAACTAAAAACAATTCATTAAATTATTTTTTTGAATACTGGATTATTACACTTATGTCTATTCCCCACAAAACAAAATACTGCGGAATGCAATAAACAAAACACTATTTGACATGTAACAAAAAAAATCTATGATTAATAAAGAAAGGTTGACTAAAAAAAGTAGAGAAGTCAGAGCAGACAAGCTATATGGATTTTTTGAGTGAAAATTTTAAACTCTACGAATGTTAAGTAAAAGAAGTATTGGGACCAGGGAAGACATACATTTAGACTACGAGAAGAACTTTTTCGATGCGAGAAGACCTATTTGAAATGTTAGATCAACTTAACAAATATGTTTGGCTTGTTCGCAATCGTTATTGAAAACAAAAGGCTGCTGTGTTTGTTGGAAATAATAACTAAAATTATATAATTATCAGCCAAGAATGTGTGTTCGCTACAGATTTTTTGTACTGTACTTTAAGATATAATTAGCGAAATATAGAACCTGGTTTGTAGTTGGAGGTGAGATTGAATATCAATAACATTAGATTTGCAAGATGATTCAGACCTAATTGCTAATTCAGGGGATAAATTACAGGTAGCCTGGTAGATGTTGCAAAGGAAAAAGCAGTGGTCTAAAAGTAAATTTAACTCCAACTTTTAATATTAATGTTTATGGAACAAACATGGGTTAGAGCACAAAGTATCTTGACAGCATTATAACATCAGATGGAAAGTGTAATACTGAAATCAGAATTGCTCTTGCAAAACCCCCCCCCCCTCCTTTAATAAAATAAGAAGTATATTAAAATCTGAAAAAAATGCATAAATACAAAGCTTAGGGTATTGAAAAGTTATTTTTGGTCAACCTACAGATCTGAATCCTGGACTATTAGCAAAACTATAAAGAAGAGGTTAAAGGCTGTAGAGATGTTGTTTCTAAAGGAAGGTTTGAAGATTGCATATGTGTCTAATGACACATATTATGATAGTATAATACATACTCCAAGTATCGAAATGCACGCCATCATGTCGGGATTCAATATTTCGACATTAATTATGTCATCATCAGGATTAATCAGTGGACCTTTCGGTTTTTGGAAAATGGTCAGGGTACGTGTGTTTGTGGAGCGAAGGCCTATGAAGTGTGTATATTTACCATAAGGATGTTTTACAATGGTTGGTTCCGTTGTATCTGATGGCTCACCAACCCCAGCCTTATTTACAGCAGCGACTCTAAACTCATACTGAAGTCCTTCTCGAACATCATGAACAACTAAACTTGTATCTACTACTGGTGTTCTATTGATTCGGATCCATCGCGTGCTAAAATGTTCTTTCTTATCAACATAGTATCCGATAACTGGTGAACCTCCATCTCGTATCGGAGGACTCCATTTTAGAGAAACAGAAGTCGCAGCAACATCTGAGACGTGGATGCTTTCTGGTTTACTTGGTGGATCTGATAGTATTAAAGAATGAAGTTATCTTAATATAATATGCAACATTGACGTCAAAAAAATTATATTGATAATTTTCTTTTGATTTGCTTACCAAATGGAAGTTTTGCAACCTTTGCGTCCGATGCCTCACTTGGTTTACTTGCTCCGGCTTTGTTCACAGCAATGACACGAAATTGATAGGAATTTCCACGAGTCAATCCTGTAACTTTGAATTCTAGATTCTGAACAGGAAGCCTATTGACTTTTGTCCATTTCTTTGCCGTTGTTCCTTTTTGTTCGATCATGTACCCAGTTATTGGACTGCCGCCGTCTGATCTTGGTTTGTGCCAGATTATGGTCATCTCCATCTCATCAGTGCTTGTGATTTCTGGTTTTTCAAGTTGAGAAGGAACATCTGTTGGTAAATTAAATATTATTATAATGTTTAGAATCGACATTTTTGTTATAATAACGTACTATTCTTTGGTTATTAACAAACATGTATAACAAACAGTACTGCAATAGTATCATTATTACTATTAAACTCTATAGATTTCCTAAAATAATTTTACCCTTATTTTTTTACTTTTACTGTTTATTCTTAGATTAAGACTTTTATTATTAATTTTATTACCTCACCTTGTGGTTTAAACTTTTACGATGTATTTTAACAGAGGCCAGTGTATTCTGCATTTTAGATTAAGTTATGTATTTTATACAGATCAGTAGACACTAAAATCGATTAAAGAAGGTTTTCAAACCCCCAAATTTTCATAATGTCATATTTCATTGGTTTCGCCCCCTGGACCACATTTCGAAAGAATTTGAGCGACGCCCGACCACGACCAATTTTCTCTTGTCGAGAAGCGCGGACCCTCGGCACCACCCCTGGAAATGTTCAAAAGTATTTATATTTACAAAATAAAAGCAACAAACTATAAAATTAAATTACAGACAAACATTATGACATCTATTTTCTTACCGAACGGAAGGTTAACTTTACAGCTGACAGCCTCGCTTGGTTTACTCTCTCCGGCTTCATTTACGGCAATTACACGGAACTCGTATTTCCTATCGCAAACCAAGCCGGCAATCTTTGAAGAGATAACAGCACTAAGCTTAAGTTTAATTGGTATTTTTGTGAAACGGCCAGTGTTCAAATCGTGTTTCTCGACTATGTACTCTAGGATAGGACTTCCTCCGTCATCTTTCGGAGCATTCCACTCTAAAACCAATGAATCTGATGAAACTTCCGCGACATTCGGTTGACCTGGTGGTTCTGGAATATCTGAAAATTAATTGATTTTTAAGGGGAAATAAATAATTAATAATATAATCATCATCACTATTTCTGTCGCATAGTGTACAATTTATATTTGTAGCATCAGGTGTCCTATCAAATATTTTATGATCAAAACCCACCTCAGACCCACCATAGTTGGGGCTGAGTTGCGAAAATTTGAGGAAATGATGATGACTAGATGACCAGAAAATGACATTTTTAGTAAAATCCATCATCACCACATCACCATTATATACTCAAAATGAAGCGCCAACAAATTTCTCATGGTCTTTTATCAGGGATTTTTTGGCAACTATAGGGATCTTATTAATATGCGTGATGTGCCACAGAAAATAAAGCTTAAAAACATTGTCTTTGAGTATGTACTTTACATACTTCAAAGCCGTGATTTCACAACAAATATGGTGGGGCTGAAGTGAGAAAATTTGAGGGAAATAGTACCTCTAGATGGCCGGAAATAGCACTTTTATATAGTAAAATTCATCATCATCATCACATAATCATTATAAAGTCAAAATGAAGTGCCAACAAATTTCTCATGATCTTTTATCAGGAATCTACTTAATATCAGGACATCTTAGACCTAACTATAGCTTACTAAGCTTTAACTATACTATAATAATTATCCCAAATCCCAACTTACTTTTTCACCTTTAGCACAATTTTCTTTACTTTTTAATACGGTATTATTAATATTATTATCTATTACCACCATTGTCATCACCATCGTCATCATCATCTTATCGATATCTTAAAATATTTACCATACGGTTCTCTTGCTACAAACCGCTGTGATGGCAAACTTGGTTTACTAGGGCCAGCCTTATTTACTGCAGAGACACGGAATTCAAATTCATAGTTTGGATCTAGTTTCACTGTTGTAGTTGTAACACACTGATCAACATTGGACGCCTTTGTCCACCTGTTAGCGAAGCTATCTCTTTTCTCAATCAAATAATTGCGTATAGGAGAGCCACCGTCATACGTTGGTGGCGCCCAAGCTACTAATGCTGACTTTGAAGTGATATTAGACACTTGCGGTGCGTTTGGAGCTCCCGGAGGTTCTGTAAAATTAATATATTTAGTGCAATTAGGGCCTATAGGTCAATTCAAAGTCTGAGTCTATGATTATGGTTAAACTGTGCTGTATGGCATGGACGGCATATGTTCTTCATTCATTAACGTATATAAATTAGGTGATTACTTGTCTAGTGTGAAATGGAGACCTTACCGTATGGATGTTTTGCTTTGAATGATCTTGATTGTTTGCTTGGTTTTCCAATTCCAGCTTTATTTTCAGCGGAGACTCTAAATATGTATTCTGAGCCTTCCACTAAACTCTCAACCTTCTGACATGTACCAACGACACACTGTGCCGATATAATCCAGCGGGATCCAAAATCTTGCTTGTGTTCTAAAACGTAACCAGTGATTGGCGAGCCACCATCACTTGATGGGGGTTTCCAGGTTATGGTAACTGATGTGGGACTAATGTCACTGCATAACGGCGCGTCTGGTGCACCAGGAGTCGCTGTCGATAAAAATGAAATGAGTCAATATCATCTTCAACAAAGTACTGCAAGTAAAACGACTTATGATTTCATTTATTTCTTACCAATTACGGTTCCTATTTGAGCATTGTTATTATTATTATTTATCTATTTGTTATATTGTGTGTACGGTGCCGCTACGCAGCAGACATTATTTGAACATTATGTACTATGATTGCGGCCTATAAGCTTTGGAAGCTTAACCACAGCTCCACTATGTGTGAGCGTTTCAGTTAGTTGCATGAGAGAAGTTCCTGGGGTTAGAACTACACGTCTATCCTATAAGAGGACTCTGTGGTCTAATGGGTATCGTACCCGCGTTGACAGTGAGAGTTTGCAGGTTGGAATCCCGCAGGTTGGAATTGCCGAGATGGTTATCATTATTGCGTTTAATTGTTCACAACTATTGTAGTTACATTTACAAGTAATTATATATTTACAGAAACTTACAGTATGCAGGTTTCACAATGACTGGTTGTGATGGGTCACTTGGCTTTCCTGCACCAGCCTTATTTTCAGCTGTGACTCTGAATTCGTAGTCTGCATTCTGTCTAAGGTTTGAGATAGTAAGTTTTCTACCCAAAACCAGATTCCTGGTAGCCATCACCCAGGTTTTATTGGTCTCTCTTTTTTCAACAATGTAGCCGGTAAGCGGACTGCCACCATCCGAATCAGGTGGCGACCATGTAATGCTGACTGACGTCGCCTGGATATCAGAAATTGATGGTACACTTGGTGATTCTGGTACATCTGTGGTGGATATAACACATGAATTATGCATTAGTATTACCATTAATTTTGAGATTGTCGATGAGTATGTATTACTGTTAGTCCTCTCTTGTTTTAATTTAGAAGGCACAGAATAATTTCAAACAAAACGTGGTAACGTATACGAGTTTGGTATTGAAGAACGCTCATTGTAAAAGGGTCTACGATCACAAGTGGTGCTATTAATTTCATTAGTGTTGAAAATTTGCAAAAACTTAACTGAATTTGAAAGGTTCAGGTTCAAAAACTGTCGTAAAAATGTAATAAAGAATCGTATTTTTACGTGAAATCAACCAATCTTTTTATCCAACTGCTTTTATTTCACGAAAATTCCCTACTTATTCCATAAAATTAGAGTAACTATTTTCAGTATTTCACAGTAACTAAACATTGAGTTATTACAGTCAAGGTCAGGATTGAAATCATGTTTAGGCTACCTGCCTTTATATGAAGTATTATATTTATGTTCTTCTTCATTATATGTGTGAATTTCATTGGACTAATTTTCAAATAATCACTTCCAATATTTAAGTATTTTAACAAATTTTCCTTTCAACAAAGAACATACAAAATATGGAAATAAAAAACCACTTATTGAACACATATGTTATAAAATAAACTCACTGTACGGTGGTCTGGCGACTGTGATCCTCGAAGGATTACTAGGTTCTCCAACTCCAGCTTTGTTTTCCGCTGCTACACGGAATGTGTACTCTTGGTCTTGTTTCAGACCACTAGCTGTAAATGTAGGTACATTAACATCCCATCGGTTTATTCTGGTCCAGGTATCCAGGGCAGTTTTCCTATCTATTACATAATTTGTAATTGGTGCTCCACCATCTGAGGCAGGGATAGCCCAGTTAAGTGTCATTGATTTACCTGACACATCTGATATCATCGGCGTTCCAGGTGCATCAGGCAAACCTGAAAAAAAATATTAATATCAATATTATTCATAGTATTCAATGAACATTTTGATTGGATATTCCTCTTAAAAATATATAATGTAAATTGAAAAGGAGCACATAAAAGAAGATAAATTGGCATTGGTGTATACACCTTATACAAAAGTCAACATTATTAATCAAACCAGTCAATATTATTGATAAAGATAATAACAATAACAATGCCAGGCAATTGAAAACGTTATGTTGGCGCATCTTATCAACTCAATATCCATCTACATCGACCCACTCGAAAAAAACGTAAGATTCGCATTGGAACAACTTTCCCAGCACAACCCCACAGCCTTCCTGGACACCAACATCACCATACAAGATAACGACTGACTACAGTTTACAGAAACCCTACCTACACCAACCAGTATCTGAACAGGTCTAACAACCCCCTTCAACACAAAACTAGTGCAGTGCGTTCCTTGGCTGACAGATGTCACTATATTGTTTCCGACCAACTTAAGCAACAAGTAGACTAATTACAACAAGTTACTATAATTGCACTGTTGATAACATCATAAAACAGGTCAAACAACATCAGAACATCAGAACAAACAACAGGGTTTGGCCTCCTTGGTTCCCGCGTTTGTTCTAGTTTAGAAACAAGTGAAATAAATAAATGAAATGTAGTTCTATAAGTGTACCATAATATCTGAAAGGTTTTTCTTATAAGACAAGGCATTCACTCAAAGCTCACAACATCGACGCCTCCTTCGAACCCATTAACAAACTTCTACAACATCTAGAGGGCCTACATCCAAAGAAAAGATTGGTGATAAAGGAAAATGTTGTGCCATCTACAAAATTGGATGTTGTTAAGTCTACATTGGACAAACGGACAGACCATTTAAAACCAGATTAACAGAACATAAAAAAGATGTTGCAGATAACGCAGAAGGTTGTCATCACCAGCGCTACACTACACTTAAATGAAATAAATTAAAAAAAAGACAAATTAAATAGTAAAAGATCCTTTTTTAGGCAATCCTTATATTTAGTCAAGAACTTTGCCTCCTTAATAAATATTGGGAGCTGGTTCCATAATAATGGTCCCCTACCAGAAAAAGATAATAGCCAAATTTTGCTAGTAGTAAGACTAATGCCAACAAATGTTAAAAGTATAAGATACCGTACTGTTTCCTTAAGAGCAATATTGTGCACCAATAAAGAGATTGTTTATAATGATTACATTGTAAAATAATGTTACTGTAGTTATTTACATTGGATAATAATCTTTGTCATGATAAACAGTATACAGCACCATGTAGTTTAGTGGGTTTCTCATGACAAGCTATTACATAATAGGTGTTAAATGCCATTTGAGTTTAGTCTTTCATGACATTTGCAGTTAAGTGTGTCTTTGCTGACAAAAACAATACAGACTTGCAGTTGAGTGGTATTTTAATTTTAAAATTTCATATTGTTTGTTATAATTTCAAAAATCTGAATACATCACAAGGTGTATTATGTCCCCAAAAGGCAAAAAGCTAAAAAAGCGCATTTTGAAAAAAGTGTTAGTTGATTGGTTTCTTTTCATGACAGGGCAGAATAGGGCCTAGACATAATGGAAGCGGTTTGATACAGCAGAAAAGATTTGGTTTCCCAACCTCGAAGTCGGAGTTTCAATCCCTCGCTCTGCATTTCGCGGTACCTGGTGGGGTTGCCTGCTCCTGCGCCAATGTGGCAGCAACACTTAAGCATGTGGACCAATGACCAGAGAAAAAACTTACAGCGCTTCGTATCGGTAAAAAAAAATTCGCTATATAAATCACCACATTAGATTAATTCTTCGCCATGCATTTCGCTTGTGTTCTTTAGAAAGGCACCCAGTAATTAAATATGTAATAAATATATATAATATAATAAATATGTATTGCTTATAAATCGATTGACTATTCATTATACATAACTAAAACTCACAGTATGAAGATGTAGTCTTGACAACTGTACTAGGTGAACTTGGTTTGCCTTCTCCTGCTTTATTGGTAGCGACTACTCTAAATTCATATTCAGACTCTTCCATTAATCCGGTAACGCAGTATTCTGTCTCAAGGACAGGCTCCCGATTAACCCGTAACCATCGTGTACCGAACATTTCACGTTTTTCCACAAAATAACCTAGAAGTTTGCTCCCGCCATCATCAGCTGGTCCCCATTTGATACTGATGAGATTCTCTTTTATTTGTGTAACATTTGGTACTCCTGGGATGCCCGGAACATCTAAGAACGGTAGCAATATAAACACTTATGAAGATGAACACTTTGTAATGGCATAGGCAGTTATATTGGGGCAGGTCCAGTCACCCCCCCCCCCCCCCCCCCCCCCCCCCCACCCACCACCACAATCATGCAAAATCTTCACTCTTTTTAATTTCCTGTAATTATTCGCTACCATGGAATATAGATACTTGAAAGTAATATTATCACCATTACGTACATTTCATAGATTATGCAGAATATAGGTGTATCATTTTACAGTAGAGTATATGCACTGATAATTGAGTTTACCATGTCCAGTCCACATAACGATCACTATTAACATCATTACCCATTTTAAGTTTCAAACTTTTGAATAGATTTACTGACGTAAAGATAAACGTTCCAGCAAAGCCCATGATTATTATAATAATAACTTGATAATTATGATAATAACTTGATAAAGATCTCATAGATTCTGATTTTCTTTGTTAATTGTGGCAAATTGCATACTAATTCTTTGTATTATATATAGTGTTAGATACAAAAATAAGGCAATATAGTATTACCATAAGGTGGTTTAGCAATGACTATATTCGTTGCATTACTTGGAACACTTTCACCGGCTTTATTGACTGCAAGGACCCTGTACTGATATTCACCCATGTTCTGCAATCCTGTTACACTAAAAGTAGTATTTTTGACAGGGTCTGCATTCAGCCTGGCCCATCTGGTACTATATCGATCCTTCTGTTCAACGATGTATCCAACAATTGGAGACCCACCGTCTGACTTCGGTGATTGCCAATTTACTATCAAGGACGTACTGTCTATATTGATTGTTGTAGGAGTGTTTGGTTTATCTGGTACATCTGAAATTTAACAGATTTAATATTTATTTCGAGGTCACTTCAACAGGCTATTGTTCAGTAACAGTAATTTCACTTTAATTTCTATTGCTTCTTTTGATTAAAAATCACAGAGTGAAAATAATTTCAGCAGTTATTGAACTTGGCAAAATAAATACTGGTCATAATAATAGTTGGGACAAAATCAAAATACTATTTAAAGAATCAAATTCATTTAAAAGGGAAAATCAAAGCAATTGAAAATAAAGTGAAATCATCGCCATTGAACCGTAAGAAGGACTACGAACACTCGCCGATACGCGATTTTTTTCCCGTACAAAACATGTGCATGTAACTTCACTTGCAGCCGATACACCGTGTCTTTTATTACATTACTGTACCACTTCCGCTGGTAAACAGACAACGGGTTTACCGTCGCTTCAAGAAGGATGAGAAAGGCATCGTGAAGATACCGAAGCAACAGAAACCAAGAAAGTAATTATTTCTCTTTAACTAAAAACGACTGAGTTAGATACTCATGTGTATGCTATATATATCTATTGACACATAATCAAGTGTTTTGTAGGGCTAGCATTTGATTGCCCCTTGTACGTTCATCATGACTTAAATGTTTACATTGCGTCCTATTTGGTTAATGAACAAAGACAAATGTAAATAACAATGTTGTCAATTGGTAATTCGTTTACAATATTATGTAGAGTTTAAGGAAACTTATGATGCTATAAAATATAAAATAAAAGAAAAGACTGCCTAATATCTTTGGATAAGAAATGCACTTTGATTGTGTTTTGTGTGTTTTTCTTATAATTATGAATATGAATATATTTGTCCATTTGTTACTGTTGTACATTATCTTTTTCATATGTATTTTATTTTTTAAAGCTTTAAAAAATAAATATATACTCTAATATGACATAGATATTCATATTACTTTGCGACTAAGGACAATTTAATGATCTCTTTTCATCAATTTTCTTGAATTCTTTATGAGACTTAATTTTTATTATTTACAAGAATTTAAAGTTTGGACTCCTCTCTCCTTTAAGTAACGGTAAGGGCATCAATTTCATGGAAAGAATTTGGGCTTTTCACTGTTTAAAGGTTAGATGACCGAAGTGTTTTGTAGGGCTAGCATTTGATTGCCCCTTGTACGTTCATCATGACTTAAATGTTTACATTGCGTCCTATTTGGTTAATGAACAAAGACAAATGTAAATAACAATGTTGTCAATTGGTAATTCGTTTACAATATCTATTTTTAAATTCTCACTATCTATATTTTAAAATGCTGAATATATGTCACTAACTGTAAGGAGGTTTGGCTTTGATACAATCAGAACTGCAGAATCTTCCACGACCAGCTTTGTTTTCGGCAGCAACTCTGAACTCATATGTGTGTCCTTCTCTCAAATCATCTACTTTGATTGAACACTCTTTTTGTATATTTCTATTAACACTGCTCCACTGTGTACTCTGTATATCCTTCTTCTCAACAAAATAACCCAAAATAGCGCTACCACCATCTGACTGAGGGCACTTCCACGATAAGGTAAGAGATTGGCCAGTGATGTCTGATGCAACTAGTGACATTGGTGAATCAGGAACATCTGTGATAAAAGCAAGCGATATCAGCCATATTTCATAATCATTAAGGTCATAAATAAATACATGTTACCAATGTTCGGCTTAAATAATCGGCTTTCAATTAACGTTTTTTTTTTTTAGGACAAAAGTGCCTGGAACATCCAGGTCAGGGCCGGACAATATTCCTTGAAGTTTTCGAGCCTTCTTCCTTTTATTTTTAATTTATAATATTGTATAAAGGTGGGGCTATAGGCCTACAAGCAAACATAATAGTGATAATGGCAATGCCAATGGTACTGGTAATGGTAATGATAGTCATTGTGATAATGATAATGGCTGTCATAATGACAATTAAAATAATAAATATTAATAATATTAAAATTAATAGTAATAAATGATTTAAAGTAAAGTCGTTGTTCCTATGTGAGAAAATATAAAAAAATTGGCTGTCCTCCTGGAGACCTTCAGCAGCGACAGTGCAAGGCCAGCCATACTGGCAAACTGGGCAATATACAAAGAGTATATTGCTTTTAAGATGTATTCATGAGACAAAAGGATTGAATTTCTCTTCTGAAAGACGGTGTTCCCTAATTTGTGGCCCTTTCTCTACAGGGAGATCACCTTGGCTACACCTAAAGCCGGGTAGCTACTGCGCCCGAAGGGATCGTTTTTAATGACGATATCTTCAAACTGCGACGGACAATCAGCAGACGGCGTCACGTCGTCTAGCACTCACAGAGAGTGGAGTTGGATTCGTCGTGCGACGGTCCTATGACCGTCCTACGAAGCAGTGAGTGGCCGGCTTTACTTAAATAAGTATTTACTTAAAAGATGCCTCAGCAAATACACAGACATAAACAATCAATGTAATGATTAAATAAAATATACTTGTTTTTTAAAAAGTTTTTATTACCATATGGTGACTTGGCAACTTGAAGATCACAATTCTTGCTATATGGTCCTATTCCTGCCTTATTTTCAGCCGCCAAACGGAACTCATATTCAAAGTTTTCTACTAGATCACTTGCACAAAATGTAGTATCAGTCCACATGCTACGGGTAGCTCTCACCCAATGTGTAGCTTTAGTTTCCTTCCTTTCAATTACGTAGTTTATTATCGGGCTTCCGCCGTCAGATTTTGGAGCTGACCAATTTATAGTAATACTAGTTGCTGTAACATCAATTACTGCAGGTTTTCCGGGAGCTGATGGTACATCTGAAAAAACGTAGAAAGGGAAATTAACTATAAAACCAATGCATCAATCAAGGTTAATGTCCTCCACCCAAAATTACCTACTGTCAATCATGTAAGGAATGTTTGTTTGAATTTCCAAAATATTCATTAGCATTTAGAGGATATTAGATCATGTTGGCTTTTGTAACAATAAAATATTAAATTTTAATCTCTTGGATATTAAAGGCAATAATATACCGTACTTACTGTATGGTAGTTTGGCAAACATTGGTTCAGAAGACTTTCCATATTTACCAAGACCAGCAGTATTCTGTGCTGCAACTCTGAATTGATATTGTGAACCCGGGAGTAGATTGTCTACCTTAAAATCTGTTGTCATGATCGGGTTTGTATTTACTGTTGTCCATCTTGCCTTCCTTGTATCAAATTTTTCAACGAAGTACCCAGTGATTGCTGAATTTCCATCTGATTCTGGTGGATTCCACGTTAATTGCATCGATGTGTCTGTAATGTCTGATATTTCTGGTGCATCTGGTGATCCTGGGACATCTATATGAAGAAGAGTAACATTTCATAAAATATTTAAATAGAGCAGGTAAAAATAGAACAGACTGATGGGCAGAACCATTAATGTCATATAGTTAGAGATTGAGCTATACAAAAGTTTCAAAGTAACGTCTGTTTCCCCTAAGGATCAGTTCGAGTGGAGTAGCTGTGCAGGGTAAGGCACGGGATCCGATAATTACAACATTAAAATCGGCTCAGGGTTCGGTAGGTAGATCCAAGTCTTCTCGGATAAAACCAAAAGGTTCATATCCACATGTACATATCTGCATTGTAAAACTAAACGGAACCCATCACGTCTCTCGGAAGAGATACCCGGATGCTATGATTAATTTCAGCCACTGTCGCTGTGGAATGATGTGAACATTAATTTTATTTATTTATTTATTGAATAGGATTTATATAGCAAGAACTGAAGTAAGAAAATTTATGATTATGGCACCTCTAGATGGCCGGAGATGGCACTCTCAGACTTAAATTTGAATATAATTTCTTTTCTATTTTTAAATAATTTTGATAAATTTAGGGAAGGAGAGGGGCAACACCACTGGGAATTATAGTGCAGCACAGTCTACAAGCACAGATACGTTAGGCAGGGGCGCATCCAGATGTCTGAAAAGGGGCCTGAAAGGGGGGGGGGAGCCGATCGAGGTAACACCACTCTAGGGTCCGGGGACACGCCCCCGCGAAATGTTTGCTTTTAAGACGCCCACAAGTAACCTTTGAGGCGTTTTAGGCGATAATTTATTTCCTTTTCTTTCTTTAATTTTTTTTTCACTTTCAAAAAGGGAACTGGGACATTGGCTAGAGGATTTCATTGGCAATCGCACAATAATCTAATATATGTCTACACAACCAATGATCTGTCTGTATTGTTTTTGACGTTTCTTTGTGTACTATATATTTCTTGCTCCCACATTCGCAACGGCGAACGGTGCGAAGGTCTAAATCTGCGCCTGCTGTATTAAGATGAGTCCCAATAGAGAATAAAGATGATTTTTGAACGGTGAATCATTGAAACGTAAGCGGCGGTGGAAACAATCCAATTCCTCAACAAGCTTATATATAAATACAGTTAAAAGTCGTTGCTTGTACGAAGAATTAGAGTGGTACTAGTTAGAAGTTGCATTGATTGGTCAAGGAGGTTTGTTGGATGATTTCTTTTAATTGTGAGTTTTGAATTTTCTACCCTAGAAAATGTGGAACCTTTGTTAATTGGGAGGGGGGAGTGCGTACGCACCCGTCGCACTCTCCTGCGTACGGGCCTGTATTCCGATAAATCTTTATACATAACCGACATGAGAATTTGTTTTTCGATTGCTTTCTCATTTCACATTTCTCGCGAAATGTGGCGTTATAGGAACATTGCATCCAACACCAGGGAACAGTGAAATTCCAGTGTAATTTCACTGTTCCCTGTCCAAACTAATTGCAAAAGAAATATTTTTTGCGGAACCTGTTCTAGAAATATACATATAAAAATACTAAACGTCAAAACGTCCTAAAAAATCTATTCAGGGATCATCGTTACATTATAAGGATAGATAATGAGTTTAACGGTTTATTTCGCCTCATCGTTGAGGTGTAGGCCTATAAAAGCATTTGTGTTGGGAATACAAATACAGTAGATTATTTGTTGGTAATGTAGGCCTAAATTCTATAATTTGGGTTCATGTTAGCCGTGTTGTATTATTTAAAATTCGATATTGTCATAGTCATATAATATGTTTTTACTATAGGCCTAACAACAAAATCACTTTGAAATATCATTTAATCAAATACGTTCGGTTAACAGGAACACAGGAACATTATTATTACCTGTAGAAAAAATAACGTTGTTCTGGGTCATAATATATTGGTGAACACAAGATATAAACGACATTTTATGCTGTGTTAGCAATATTGAAATCAAATTAAATGTCCAAATTGGTATGGAATGATTTTTTTTAACTTTTTTATTTTTATTATTTATTTATGATCTCCTTGTAAACCAATTTGCTTAATGCGGCAAGTTTTTGGTTGGAGATTTTCTTTTAAACTTACAATTAAGCCAGAGAGAATTGTCTTTTTGGCATGTATACAAAGGATTTTAATTTTAATCGGATAGGTCTATGTTAATGTAGGGCCTAGTTTAATGAAATTGCGATGAAAAAAGAATATATTAAAATACGAGATACAAAGATGAAATTACCAACACAGATTATTGTATTCGATATTGGTTTCAGGTTCTATATTAGGTCCATAGTATCTGTTTATATAATATAATGTTATAATAATATTATATAATAATATAATATATATAATATAATTATTTATCAAACATGGTTTGTCAACCAACAAACAGACAATGCAGGGCAGTGTGCACAACTTCGCGTTAATATTGTGTGTTACAAACGTCTGGTTTAATTCAACTGAATTGACTGGCATCTGTGTTATTTTGAACCATTTTTCGGGTAAAGACTAAATACACTAGTCACGAGGAACATTATATTTAAATGACATGAATAATCAACTACCAGATCCAAAAAGAGTGAAGGCAGTATGAGTCGTCTCTAGCAAATCCCAGCGAGCGTTGAAACGTGTACTGTCAATAAATGTTGGTTGGAGTCTCTGATATTTAAAGGATTCTCGTATTTTTTTTCTCAGTAAATTTCCCATTTCAAATCCATAAATCTTCCCTATTATAAATGGTAGTCTCCTTTTCCGCGTTATCACAGCGTTCAAATGCATGCCTCACCAAAATAATACTAACTCTGCTGTTGAGCTCAGACACCATAACGGTCCATGAGGGCTATTTGATCCGTGATATAAAACCGTTACAGCCTGGTATTCCAAGCTTTATTTCTGTCAATGTAGGCCTATGAGTTTAGTAGTTTTTTTTTTCTCGGATAAGGACAATAAGGCTCGTGTGCACTATAAAGAACCCAGTACGTCATTCGGGACGAGTAGGGGATACCCTGGTGTTCTGGTACAGACAGCCCCTGTGGTGGGCGACGAGAATTGCTGCTACCGGATTACCGGGTAGCACAGACACGAAGGGATTATTGTTATTATTATTAATTTTTTTTTTGCAATTAATTCTGGGTAAATCCACAGATTGACTAAACTATTATCCGTGAAGAGTTGTTCTACCACTGGAATCATAGGCGAGTCGACTGCAGCTGCAATATTTATAACTATAGGGGCCCTGCTGTGGCCCTGCACTAACATATACATTGGCATGTATAAAACATGAGCACTTGCCATAAACATTTAAACACTTACCATATGGTGCCTTGCATTTAACTTGTTGAGATGACTGACTTGGGCTCCCAACACCTCTTTCATTGCAAGCAGAAACTCTAAATTCGTAGATAACATTAATTCGTAAAGATGTAACTTTGAAAGTAGTTTCCTTGGTGTTCATGGCATTTACTCGTTTCCATAATGGTGAAAACTGTTCTTTTGCCTCTACGATATATGTGGTTATTTCACTTCCACCGTCTGTATCTGGAGGTGTCCAATTAACTACCAAGGATCTCTCCTGTATTTCTGAAATTGTTGGTTGGCCTGGTGTTCCAGGAACGTCTGGAAATAGTAGATAATATAAATATTATCATTACATACACATTAATCTGAACAAAGGCACTATTGGTTATCTACACATCCAACACACAATATTTATGGCCAAATAAAATTTCCTAGTAACTTTTAGCTCTATTTTTCAATGAAAATCTGATTAGTTTAATTATGAAGCAATTTTGGAAATAAAAATTTTTAATGCAGTATATATTATTATTATTACCAACTGTCACATAAACTCAAAATCAAAAAATTAAGCGAAGTAAGCAAAAATATATAAATTAACATTCAATCGATGTATATAAAATGTTTTTTATAAAATATTTCTCCATGTTTGTCTATTTTCTGCGATTGTCCTCAAACGATACATTAATCAATACATCTAAAGAAAAGTCCTCTATCAATTTGTTTAATACATAAAATAAATCAAGTGCTTAAATTTAAAATTGAAATTCTGATTTAGTGTACATTTTGTTGTATATTTATACTGCTTTAAAATAGAATATTTCTTTTTTATTATTTTTATGTATTATTATTTTCAATATTTTTATATATAGTCGCTAATTTTTAATGTATTCCATAATTTATGTATATTTAACCAATTGTGATTGAACATTAAATAGAGTAATGTAGGCTACTTACTCCCTGGTGGTCTAGCCTCGATTGGTTCAGATGGGTTACTTGGACTTCCAAGCCCGACTTTGTTTTCAGCAATAATTCTGAATTCATATTTATCACCTTGGGTTAGTCCTATAACGTTGTATTTAGTGTCTAACGTGTGACCGATTCGTCGCCATCTTAGCGCAAATGGTTCTTTCATTTCAATTACGTATGAAACAATTTTGCTGCCACCATCATCTGTTGGCGTTTGCCATTTCAACGTCGCTGACTGGCCTGTGATATCATGAACAGATGGAGCGCTTGGTGCACTTGGAGCAGCTGAATTAAAAAAAATGTATGAAACGTGTAGGGTATGTTTTGTTTATATACAGGAGAATTTGTGTTTGGGTACAGAGAATAAAATACTTTTTAAATTAAACGATACCGGTACTTCATAACTTACAGAAAAGAGGCTTTGCTACGAAGGAACTGGTTGCACTACTTGGGGCACTCACTCCGGCTTTATTTTCAGCCACTACACGGAATTCGTATGTGTTACCATGCTTCAAATCCTTTACTGTATAACACAGATCACTGGGTGAAAGTGTAACAGACTCTCTCCACCTCCGTGCGAATTCTTCCTTTCTTTCCAAAATGTAGGCCGTCAGAGGAGACCCCCCGTCTGTCAGAGGAGGTGTCCAGCTGATAACGGCGGATGTTGAAGAAATATTTGATACAAGCGGAGCTCCTGGGGCAGAAGGTACGTCTGGAGAAAATATGTTTAGAATAATTGTTTAAAAGAATATTGAAGAAATCGGGATATATATATATATATCTGTCTCTTATACACATCTAGATGTGTATAAGAGACAGTGTGGCTTAATTAGGAAGCTGAGATTCAAAGACGCCTTACTGTATGGTCGTCTCGGTACAACCGGGGATGATACAGTGCTAGGGTCACTCAGACCAGCTTTGTTTTCTGCCATTACCCGGAATGTATATTCTGATCCTTCTTTGAGGTCAGTAACTATGTAACTAGTATGTAGTATTTTTCCCGAATGGGTAACAGTCCATTGGTTACTGTAGGCCTCACATCGCTCAACAACGTAGCCGGTAATAGGGCTACCACCGTCTGATATGGGTTCGCTCCACTTGATCGTCACTGAGTGTTGATGCACGTCAGATATTACTGGTTGTGAAGGAGCATCAGGTTTATCTAAAATTATAACAGAATAGATCTAATAACGTGTTTTCTAACACAGACAACTCAAATGAACTTTTAAAAGCAATTTATTTGAGCAATTAAAATTATACTTGGTTCTATATCATGTGTAATTCGGACAGGGGAATGTGCAATATGTGAGGTGTCATGACAAAATGAGTCTTGTTGTACGCTAGGTCAATTTCATATACAGTATCATATTTTGACAAATAGGTTTCAGTATTTTTTATAAGTTGCACTCTCAAACTCTCATACTTTATAAAATCACTATGTTCATAATAATAAAAATAATTTATTAACAATTCAATACACAAATTATTTTAAAATACAATTCAGGGGGTGCGATGGCACCGTCTACACCCTCTGCATCCGCCCCAATATTGGCCTAGGTAAAGGTAGTCCCACATTATTTAACGTAGGGGAATGAGTTGTTTGCCCATCGTACTAAGCCTCGGTATTGTGTGGTAGGGTGGCCAATTCCTTTCGACGCCGCCTTTATTACTCCCCATTTACACTCCTGGGTGGAGAAAGACAAACGCAGTTCAAGTGTCTTGTCTAGGAACACAAGCGAAGTGCACAGCAAAGATAATCAGAAACTTCTACATTTTTTCAATAAGGTGCCTATGCGGTCTCAGCAGCTGGCTTAAAGAAATAGTCAAGAAAATTGGTGGCACGTAAATTTATTGTCCGCTGCTAGTTTTTTTTTTTTTTTTTATCTTAAATATTCATTTTGGAATTATTTTATTATTATATATAGGTCTATTATTTTTAGACCTATTACTTTAACTATTGCACTGACTGCACTGCCCATACCTACGCCACTGCTTATACATTCAAGACATTATCAGCATCATGATCATGAACATCATTATTATCAGTAGTAGTTGTAGTACTAGCACTTCCATAAAAATAAACTACTGCATAGATGCAAAAGTAAAGTTTTGTTTAAAACTATTTAAAGAGATTAGGATTTAGATTATCACTAAAACAATTATATGCGACAATATTGATACATTTGACTTCCATAGAAACACCAATAACACACATTGCAATCGACGAATTTTCTGGTCCTACCATGAGAGTCCTTGGCCATAGTTGCCGGGCTCGGATGGCTGGCAACTCCTACACCAGCCTCGTTTTCAGCACTGATTCTGAATTCATACACAGATCCTTCTTCAAGATCTTTCACAATATACGTCAAGCGCCTAGTCCTAGCGACAAAAGTCCACTCAGAGCGTCTAATTTCTCTCATTTCAACGATGTATGCTGTAATTTTAGAGCCACCTGTAGAGTCTGGCTCTGCCCATTTAATTTTCATCATATCCTTTGTAATTTCGTGAATTTCTGGAGTTTTCGGTGCGCAAGGGAGATCTATATATTAATTGTTCGAAATATTTACTTGCTAATTACGTTTAAAAATGTGTAAAATAAAATACAAAATTATGCATTTTCAAACTCATGATATAAAACAATGAAAGCAACAAGCAAGTTGTAAATATACCGTACTATTCAAGTGTTGTATAATAACTGAGACACACACTATATGAATATGTTAAAACTATATCATGTGTAGTAAAATGCAAAATGATTCATTCATTATTGCTAACTCAATTAAATCGATGTCATTATTTAAAAATGAATTAAATGTTATAGGGAAAAGAGTGCATACATCAGAGTGCAATATTAGGATAAATGTGTTGTTAACTAGATTAGTGAGGACTGTGTAGGCCTAAATAAATGACTGCTAAATCAAAATATGCATTTCAATGTAGATGCTCTTTAGTGGGCCAAGGTATAATAACCAATGTAGTATGTTTTACTTACCAAATGGAGATTTTATAAGGACCATACTGGAAGGCTTACTGAACTCTCCCATTCCGGCCTTATTCTCTGCCGCCACCCGGAATTCATATTTGCTGTTGGTGTTGAGGTCAGTCACGTTGTAGTTTGTATCTCTAACTGAATACATATTAGCTTTTGACCATGTTTTCTTATTGACTTCTTTCTTTTCAACAGTGTAATATGTCACCCTGCTGCCTCCATCAACTTTAGGTGGTACCCACGTTAACATTGCTGTCGTTGCGGTTACCTTGCTAACCTCTGGCACACCTGGAGCACCTGGTGGTTTTACAGTTAGTGCTACTTTTAAACTCGGTTCGCCGAGGCCAGCTTTGTTTTTAGCAACAACGCGGAAATCACACTCTGTTCCTTCATGTAGTCCAGTAATGTTATAGGATGTGTCTGTGATAGGAATTGTATTTACAGGAGACCATCTTGTGCTAAATTTATCCTTCTTTTGTACCATATAGCCTTCAACCGTCGATCCACCGTCCGTTTGAGGCGCAGACCATGAGAGTTTCACTGAAGTTGGTTTCACATTTTCTATGATAGGCTCACCTGGCATATCAGGTACATCTGTTAGATATAAGATGATAATCAATACACATGTCATTGTGTTGAAAATGTGTAAATTTTATTTAATCAGGCACTATTAACAAATTGAGGAATAAAGAGCATGTGATATTGTTTAAATAAAAATGAGCCTACCGAATGGTGGTTTTGTCTTGACTGGACTTGTAGGTTCACTTGGTTCACCTAAGCCAGCTTTGTTTTCAGCCACCACCCTAAACTCATACACACTAAACTTAATCAATCCCTCAACAATGAATGACAAGTCTTTTACAAGTGATGAATTCACTCTGGACCAACGAGTTGCCTTAGTTTCACGTTTTTCGATTACGTAACCAGTAATCGGAATACCTCCATCACGTAGAGGGGAATTCCAGGACAATTCGACAAACGTGGAATCAATTTTCGAAACGGATACGTTAATAGGTGGACCAGGAGGATCTGAAATAATTAGAATGAAATACTGTTACTAGTGCTTTGTATACAAACATTGTGTGATCGACGTTTTGTTTTATTGTTAGATATTCAATGGCGTTTTTACATCATATTTAATAGGGATGGTGTTTTTGCCCTACCTGACGTGTTATCTGAATGCTCGATATGTTCCCGAATACTTACGGAATACCTCACAAATGATTCGGGTGAAATCGGATTCAACAATAGTCACAAGCACAAGCTCGGCGGTCTAGTGGTTAAGACATCAGACTAGTTATCGGGAGGTCCTGGGTTTTATTACAATTACTTGCGAGATTTGCGCATTTGGGATCGTACCGAGCACCCAGTACGATAACAGTTCACATCGGACAAAAACATCATTGCTGTTATTAGAGCTAGGTCTTACCATATGGAGGTTTGACAGTAATTGTATCACTTGGTGAACTCGGTTGTCCGACTCCTGCCCTGTTCGCTGCTTTAACTCGGAATTGGTAGCTTGCTCCTCCAATAAGATCAGTCATTGTACACGTAGTATCTTGAATCATGTCCGAACCTACTTTAATCCATCGGGTGCTGGTCTTTTCATTCCGTTCTACGATGTAGTTCGTAACTGGAGATCCTCCGTTTGATTTAGGAGGAGACCATTTTAATACTGCCGATGTGTTTGTAACATTGCTGACATCAGGGGCACTTGGTATTCCCGGTGTATCTGTAATTTATGTTGCACGAAATTAAAGAAAACTTATCCATGTACAGTAAGTAATTAGTGTATTTTATTTGTGCATTATTTTAAAATATATCCTTACCAAATGGATGTTTTGTCATTATTCTCTTTGTTGATTCACTTGGTTTCCCCAGTCCTGCTTTGTTCTCAGCACTGACTCTGAATTCGTACTCGTGCTGCTCCATAAGATCTACTATGTTGAACGTTTGTTCAAGACTGGTTCCTCTTTTTACTTTCTGCCATCTTCCGGTTTTCTCTTTCTTTTCAATGACATAGTTGGTAATTGGACTGCCGCCGTCTGATTTGGGTGGCAGCCAAGATAACACAACGGATGATATAGCTATTTCTGAGACTTCTGGTCTTTCTGGTTCTGTGGGAACATCTGTCAAAGATAGCACATTGTGTTGCCTCAGCAAGGCGGTTACATTTTTATTCGATTTTGTGTGTGTGTGTGTGTTTTAGCAAAATCCTGCCTACAGTTTTAGGTCTACGTGCTTGGTTTTTCACAGATTATTTTTTTTTATATTAAATGGAAGATTCATTTTTTTTTTGGTTACGATCCTGGATAGAGTGTGGAAGTGGAAAAAATATATATATATAAAAAAAAAAAAAAAAAAAAAAAAAAAAAAACACCCAACACTAGATATAATAAAAACTGACCTACTGATCGGTATCCAAGTTTCTGGAAGTGTTAACCAAGTTACAAGGAAGACATAATTAAATGTTGGTGACGATCCAGATTCGGATGTAATTTTGTTATTTTATTTTTTATTTTTATTATTTTTTTGCTGGGGAGGGGTCATTCCAAATGCTAATGTCCCAGACATAAATATCTCAAGAATGAACACTCGATCTAAAAAAAATATTCTAGAATGCTTTGTCATGTTCCAAAAAAGAAATAATTAAATGTTGGTGACGATCCGGATTAGGATGTGGATATGAGTACCATTTAAAGAGGAACGTCAACGATGAAGACATTATTAAAATGTGGTGACATTCCAAATTTGGGTGGTCATTTAAAATGCTACAGTCCCAGAAAGAATCCTTAGGAAGCTCTGGTATTCTAGCCTCTTTTAAGTCGTATTTAATTTGTTTTAACGGATTACAATTAACATTTATTTAAATGCACCTAAGTAGCATGTCTCTGGACAGCTCTGGAGAACTTTTCTCTCTTCCATGAATCATTATTTGTGTCACAAATATAATTTGTCTGGTCATTTTATAAAACCGTATTAGAGCTGTCTCTTATACACATCTAGATGTGTATAAGAGACAGCCTTAAAAACGGATTAATGGCACCAGATCGCACATAACTAAAAACGTATTAGCTGTCTTCTTGGTCATGCATAATTTTGGCTTTGTAAGCGACAGGTCAGGTGGTATTACTATGGTCTCACTTGACATACTACAATGTGTTTATTTTAAACGTAGTAATTCAACACCAATGTCTAAGAATGTAATGTATTATTATAAAAATTAATACATACCTAAAGATAAGATATATACATGCGGTTTTTTAAATCGGATAATGGTAGGTTTAGATTTATCTTGGTGGTGTATTGATCCAAATTATGTCTTAATTATTATAATGCAAAATTTAAACAAATGATTATCATCAACAAAGTTACTGCTATAGCTTTTATCAATAAAGTAAATTTGTTAACTTTCCCAAAATAAGCATTCATTATTATTAGTTGTTGGCTGGCGTATGTAATCTGAAATTGAGCAGTAGATTACATTACATCTTTTCAAAATGTTATTTGTAAAGAACAGCAACAAAATTCCTACCACATGGTAGCTTAGCTTTTATTGCAGCAGGCATTTCACATGGTTTTCCAAGACCAGCTTTGTTCCTTGCTTTTATTCTAAACTCGTAGTCCTGGCCCTCCTTCAAGCCAACAACTTTACAACTTGAACTGGTCAATGGTTCTGGGACAGCTGATGTCCATTTTGTTGAATATTTTTCCTTTTTTTCGACCACATAGTCAATTACAGGGCTTCCACCGTCCTCCTCAGGAGCCTGCCACGACAAACACACTGACGAATCGGTGACATCTGAAAATTTAGGCATTGAGGGCACACCTGGTGGATCTGAAAGATGAGAACATACTATTCGTTACTCCACCACTTTATTCATCTTTTGTAGGATATTCCACTATGCTATTATAAATGAAATTAGTAACGCAGTAAGAGAAGTTTTCAAAGAGGTTAGTATGAATAAATACTAAGTGAATAAAAAAACATGGGTAAATGAAAATAAAAATTACCGTATGGATTCTTGACGGTAACATAATACGTTTCTGCACTAGCCGGACCATTTCCAGCTTTATTACAAGCAGACACTCTAAACATGTACTGGCTCATCTCTCCTAAATCTTTCACAGTATATGACGTAGTATTTATTACTTCTTCGCGGTTTACCTTCGTCCAGCGACTTGAAAAGAATTCTTTTTTCTCAACAATATAGTTAGTGATGGGACTTCCACCATCGAATTCAGGCGCTATCCACGAGAGAGATACTGTTGACTTTGAGATATTAGAGATATTTGGTGTTCCTGGGGCACCTGGTACATCTGTAAAATAATTTAAAGAGCGCAGGAAACTCAGTAGCTTTTCAAAGCCTGGCAAATTAAATTTCATAAAGTTTTCCTTTATTACATGCAACTACATTATTTTCCATAATGATCCTATTACATTATGAATATTATAACCAAAGCAATAATACACATATAATTCAATGGTCAATACATAAAACACGTCTTAATTGAAATAAGACATGACACTTGATATTTACAAAAATATAAGTAACACTATTGCAGTGACGATTTATAGGTCTAATAAGTGATTGATTGATAAATACAGTACAATAAAAAAAACATTTTGTGATACATGTAGTGATCAATATTATACTGTAAAATGGATTTTGTTAATATGAAGTAGAAATACCGTATGGAGGCTTGACAATCTTCGGCTCCGAAGGTTCACTCGGCTTTCCAAAGCCAGCAGCATTTTTAGCACTGACACGAAATTGATATGCATCTCCCTCGTGGAGATCAGTGACAGTTAGTTTTGTTTGTTTACCATCAACAGTTGACACCTTTTTCCAGTGTGAACTTAGCTTATCCTTCTTTTCTAGTAAATATTGCGTGATTGGAGATTGACCATCGGATAATGGTGGCGTCCATGATACCTCCATGCTTTTAGCTGTTATGTCCAATACAGATGGTGTATGTGGAGCATCAGGAACGTCTGAAATTATAAATGTACTAATTATAGTAAAGTACATAAGTGTGTATTAATCGGTATTATGGAATTGCTGAGCTTTATAAATGATACAATCATAAAGCATTTATACGCTCTTTTTGATATCTTATCTGTTGGCAGGGAATAAATACATATTGGAAAATTGCGCTGGTTGAATTAGATAGAACACACCTTACGTGACAATTCTCTTACACGTAATATTTTTTTGAAGTTTCAATGTTTGTACTGGGTATTTATTTCATGTTAAATTCGTCATCAGAAGACTTACCATATGGCTTTTTGATTAGAACACTAGATGATGCATCACTTGGTTTACCCATCCCTGCCGTATTCTCTGCACTAACTCTGAATATATAAGAGGATTCTTCTTTTAAGTCTGTAACTGTGAAAGAAGTTTCTTGGATTCGGGACTCGTGGGCTTTAGTCCAGGATGTCATGTACGATTCCTTTTTTTCCAAGATATAGCCGATGATTTTACTTCCGCCATCCGAGACTGGAGACTTCCAAGTTAACGACACAGAACAGTGTTTCACGTCTACAATTCCAGGTGGATCCGGTCTCCCAGGAACATCTTTAAAAATATTAAAATTATGATATACATAATATATAGAAAGAAAACAATACAAGGGTCAATGTTCCTTAGTTTAGTTTTCGTAACAATTAGAGAATGGGTTACTAAATTCGTACAGCGCCTCCTTCTTAAACATCGTACCGTTTTGGGATCGGTAGGTTTTCTGATCCAAAAATTAGACTTTGGTGAATGCATCAGAAAATTATAACGCAACCAGTATTTCTGTGTTGAATGTCACAAGCAAGTGTACAAGTAAGATTTTTAAGTTTTTATCATTGTACCCAAAATAAATCAAAGACAGTAGATACTCTTCGTTAACATAGGCATAAAACTATCATCTTTAACTTAACATCTCTGTCGTAAACATCTTGGACTATCACCAATTTATCAGTTTCATCATTACGATATTAGCAAATGGGTCGGAAAAGTCCCTTTCATCTTGTATTGGTTTTGGCCCTCTTCACTTGGTTTTCCTGGCTGAAAATAAGCTTTCACCATATCTTTACTAAAATAATTCTTCTACCTCAAAGCGCAATATATGAACTAATCTTTTATCAAATCCTTATTAAAAAAATGCATCCTTTGTATAAAAGCACCTTTATATAGAGAATACGGCCAGAAAAAAAAAACAGTGCAAAAGGATAGGAAAAATATATGCAAGAAAAGAGGGAAAAAAATCAGAACAAAAACAATGGCTTTTCCCAGTATTGCTGGGAAAAGCTAATAAAATAATACTTTAATACAAGCCAATCTACAGAACCCACCTTCGCCTTTTTTTTACAGGCCAGTTAGAACATGAATTTGATTTTGCGATATATTGATGACTGTGGTTAGCCTTATGCCTTTCTCACATATAGCATTTCTACTACTCATGTTCCGTTTCTCGACATCAAGTTCTCCAATAACGATTGTTAATTATATTTAAAAAAAAATATACACATATATCTTTATCAATAATCTTATCCTTGCGTAGAAATAACATATGTGCTTCTGATTATTATAATATTTTTTCTGGCTACTGCTGAAACAAAAACTTACCGTATGGGTCTTTTGCCTTAATAGGAGTTGTGGATCGGCTAAATTTTCCAGTACCAGCTTTATTTTGTGCGGCAACGCGGAATTCATATTCTACATTTTCCTTTAGTCTACCAACAACACATTTCGGCAATATGGGCATCTCTACTTCCACCCATTTAGATAAAGGTTCCCGTTTTTGTAATACGTAACCAGTTATAGCACTTCCGCCGTCATTTGCGGGAGGTTTCCATTGTACTGTAATACTTGTGCGGGTAACATCACTGACATTAGGCGCATTTGGTGCATCTGGCACATCTAAAGGAAATATAAAATGAATTAAAGTCGATATTAAAACAGAAAATGGCATATGTATTGGGTGCACTTTGAATTAACCTCACCCATAATCTGTTTAGAATTTATCTTAGTCATGATATAGTGACGTATTGACACGTTTTCTTCTTTATCATGACCTTTATATACAATACCTACCGATAGCTAATTTAGTAACGACTTCGTCAGATTCGACACTCCATCCACTAGTGCCGACTTTGTTAACTGCTGCTACACGGAACTTATATGCAGTGTTATGAGACAGATCGGTAATGTTGAACTTCGGTTCCTTTACAGTTGACCTATTCACCTTCAGCCACCTTTGTTTAGACAATTCACATTTTTCGATTGTGTAGCCAGTTACTTGAGTTCCCCCGTCATTAAATGCCGGTTTCCATTGAAGATTCACCGAATTTTCAAGGAAGTCAATTACCTCTGGTTTACCAGGTTCGTCAGGAACTGAGAATGTTCGTTTACATGTATCACTTGGAATGCCAATACCAATTTTGTTTTCTGCACATAGTCTGAAGTCATACTCGAGACTAGCGTCTAATTTGGTAACAGAATAAGTTGTTTCCGACACAGCTGCCTTATTCACACGTGTCCACCTAGAGCTAAAGGCGTCTTTTATCTCCACATAGTAGCCGGTTATTGTAGATCCTCCATCAGTCATCGGCACTTCCCACGTTAATGTGAGCGAGGTTGGTTCACAATTAGTAATTTTAGGATTTAAAGGTGCACCAGGAGCGTCTAAAAAAATACATGATTATACTTTGTGTTAGAAACCTATTTATAAATGATTTCAAAATATTCAATTTTTGTATCAAACTGAAAATTAAAAAAAGTCTTACCGAATGGTGACTTTGCTTTTGTCGAATCAGATAATGGGCTGGGTAAACTTTTTCCGGCTGCGTTTACAGCCATGACTCGGAAATGATAATCCATTCCTTCTCTCAGTGAAGTGAAATGATTGGTCGTCGAAGTAGTTGTCGTTCCTTCTAACCAGCGAGTGGCAAAATATTCTTTGTGTTGAAGTATATAACCAGTGATCGGTGATCCACCATCGTTCGTTGGAGGATTCCACGTCACTGTCATTTCTGTGCTGTTTACATCTGTAACTTCAGGTTTTGACGGGGGATCAGGGACATCTTTGTAAGGATAACATTGAAAATATACTTTAAAATAATGACAAACTGATCAAACATTACGGTATTAAAAGTTGGTGAGTATGAGTTACTATTGTCCTAAAATACATATCAAACAATTTCCTATACTGTATTCTAGTGTTAAATATAGTTAAATAATGTTAATTATGAAATACCCCGACTGTTATGTATCATATATTCTTACCAAATGGTAACTTAGCAATGATAATATCAGATATGTCACTTGGCTTGCTTTTTCCACATGCATTTTCGGCTAACACTCTGAATTCGTACTTGGTTCCTTCAGTGAGATCTGAAACTACGAATTTTACAGCATCTGTTTTTGAAACTTTTATCCATCGGTTTCTTGTTGTATCTCTCTTTTCCACAACATAATTTGTAATAGGACAGCCTCCGTCTGATATCGGAACTGTCCAAGTAACTGTAGCACATACATTACTAATATCCGACACTTCCGGTTTACCAGGGGGTGACGGTGGCGTTACCTCAAGATTTGCTATTATGCTTGGCTCACTTTGACCCTCTTTGTTGATGGCAAAACATTGGAAGTTGTACGCTACGCCCTCTTTCAAATTCTTCACAGTGTACTTGATTTCAGTAATGCTGCTTTTATTTACTCGCGACCAGGATGAAGTTGAAGCGTCTTTCATGTCGATGTTGTAACCAATGATAGGTGAACCACCATCATTGTTTGGAACTGCCCAGTTTAATGTTACTGATGTTGGCCCAAGCTTATTGATTGTTAAATTATTAGGTGCGCTAGGAACATCTGGAAAAACAATATACATTTGTGAGTAGGTTGATAATTATAATAAAGACAACAAAATTAAAGATAGTGGAATACAATTTCGACTTACCATAAGGCGATTTTGTAATGATGAATTCAGTGACTGGGCCTGGCTTTCCAATCCCGGCTTTGTTCTCAGCACTAATACGGAACTGGTATTCACGCCTCTCCTTTAGTGATGTAACAGTAAATTCTGTTTTAGTCACACTGTGGTCATTAAGCCTATTCCAACGAGACATATTTCTTTCTTTGCCTTCGATTAAATAGCTTTTAATTGGTGAGCCACCATCTGATGTCGGACATTGCCACGATAGATGCATTGATGTTGATGACATAGGTGTAACATCAGGTTTACCAGGGGGTCCAGGAGGATCTACGAAAAAAAACATCAAATGTATATGGCAGACTTAAACAAATAAGCAACTGAATCATTTGTTCATAAAAATGTGTAATTCTTGTTTTCTTACTCCTTGTGTTCACATTTAATATAGTGCACATACTACACTGGTTATTCGCCCACATCAGGATATTTGATTGTGGCCCTATAAATGAGTTAATACAGTAGTCATCTTGTATGTCGTAAATTGCTGCTGGAAAATGTGAATATATTAAAGCTAACAAAAACGAACAAAAATATAATAAAATAATTTATTTATAGTTTATTTTTATCGGCACAATATTTACCTCAACAACCAGAAAACTTGTTTGTATCCTTAATACTTACCGAACGGTAACTTAGCGACGATAACCTCTGAGGGTTCACTTGGTTTGCTTAGTCCAGCCAAATTTTGAGCAAGAACACGGAATTGGTATTCCTGGCCTTCTTTGAGGCCGTCCGCCGTGAAAGTTGTATGTTGTACAGGCGATGTGTTTATTGCTGACCACACTGTGCTGTACTTGCCTTTCTTTTCAATCATATAGCCGATTACGGGACTTCCTCCGTCTGACGTCGGTGGCACCCAGTCAACCTTTATGGTTGATTCAGTAATATTTGATACATCTGGTTTAAACAGACCATTCGGAACATCTTTACGTAGATATAATATAAAAGAAGGAAAATGAAAAATAAGAGGAAAGGAAGAATGTAGTTTGTTTTTGAAAGATAATACACTTTTTAAACTGTTTTTATACGAACTTATAAAGCCGGGTGCTACTATATATTTTGTAAATACCAAAAGTTACATACCATATGGTGGTTTTGTCAACACAGAATCAGTTGGATCGCTTGCCTCACTGTTGCCTGCTACATTTTGTGCAATGATTCGGAAGCGATATGTGTTTCCTTTTATCATATCAGTAATGGTACACTTAGTAATACTGATAGCCTTTCGAGTGGCCGGTACCCATCGTGTTCGATCAGCGTCACTCCTTTCAATAATATAGTTCGTCACCGGACTACCTCCATCAGACTCGGGTGGTTTCCAGCTAAGGCTGACACTTGTGCTATCAACAAGATCAATGTCTGGACGACTCGGCACTGACGGTACGCCTATTTTATTTAAATACACATATTTCAAAATTGAATCTATACGGTAATTTATAATATTTCTAAATGTATTGGTTAAAATGGAAATAAAAGAATTGTGACTCCTCCAAAAATTGACAAGCCATGACTGTGGCAAGTTTTGGATTCACCTTTTTTCCACCTGTAATAAAATTCCGCGCACATTCTAACGGTTTGAATTACAACAAGTTTGTAAAATAGATTCTAACGACACGGTAAATAAATGTGCTTATATTTGTCTTAAGTTATAACTTTTTATTTATAATCTTATGACACCATTATACTTTTGAATACTATTGTAAATGTAATTCACTGGCATATTCTAATATTATATTAACAATTGATGCAAACAAATTATTTAACATATACGGTGTATTGTTGGGGATGTATTCTCCTCTGAACGTAATCTAAAAAAAAGACTGCTCGAAGAAAAGACATTGGAATCAATGGGGTCTTTTCGGATAAGCACTGCATTGCATGTTACTGTCATGACGAATCCTTACCAATTTCAGGCACTGTCTTAACAGTTGTCGCTAAGCTTGGTGATCCAACGCCGGCCACATTCTTAGCTGATACACGGAACTCATACTCATTTCCACCTTTTAACCCAATAATCGTATATTCAGTTTTATTATCAGCAACTATTCCATTTTTTGTCCAAAATCCGAAGGTTTCTCTTAGTTCAACCTCAAAACATGTGATATTGCTGCCGCCATCACTCTTTGGTGGTGTCCACGAAATGGAAACTGAATGCTTCTCAACACGAAAAACAACCGGTTTACCTGGTGCACTTGGGGGCTCTAGCCATACGAAATAGTAAATTTTGAACGAAATTAGAATTAGAAATAACATTTGGCTAGATGGAATAAAGCACCACTAAAGCTAGTACGGAACATTGAACATGATGCACATACAACCGACCAGAAAAACAGAAACGACTGAAATAGTAACACCAACCACACAAACAGCACAATTTAATTAATTAATTAAATCAAATAAAAAACTTAGCGGATATTCGAATGAATACTTGATTTCCTTTTACAGAACACTGGACAACATGACAAAACCGTACATTGCAGCATCAGCAACATTTTTTAACTCAGACTAGACGGTTACTAACCATATGGTGATGTAGCAGTAAATATCGCTGAAGGACCAGGCTCTCCAATTCCGGCTATATTTTTAGCAATTATTCGAAATTCATACTCTAATCCGCCGGTTAATTCTAGAACAGTATATTCACATTCTCTGTTAGCCTGTAGAGTAAATCTGGTCCATCTGGTGGACATCATCTCTTTTCGTTCAACTATATAATGTGTTATTGAACTTCCACCATCAGAAGAAGGTGGTATCCAGTTGACAGTCAGAGAAGTGTTAGAAGCTTTGACAAGGTTCGGTGCGCTCGGTATACCCGGAATACCTACGATGACAATAAATCTTAAATTTGTACAGTTTATAAATTGTTTTAACAGTTAAAAATATCAAGTGGATCGAGATATTGAAACTATAGTCTTTAAAATAATATTTGAAACTACACTATCTTTTTGTAATATTTGTAGGCATAAAATCAAAACAAAGTACAAAAACAGAGACGGGGTTTATATGATTGAACACACTTCTTGACATGTAAACATACCATACATAGGTTTTGTCTGGATATTGTAAGTTGCTTCAGAAGGCAATCCGGCACCCGCTTTATTCACTGCTTTTACTCGGAATTGATAAAAATGACTTTCCTGAAGAGCGTCTACTGTAAAACTTGTAACACAAATAGGGTTGGTAGTAATCTGTTCCCATCTCGATACATACTGTTCTCTTTTTTCAACATGATAACCCTGAATATTGCTACCTCCGTCGAAGAGTGGTACAGTCCACTCAAGTGCAATACAATTTGTACTGATCTCAGTTACAGTTGGTGTTCCAGGTTTATCTGGCGGATCTACATACGTTGTTAGGTTAGAAATGTCAATTTCATTTAAAACAAGCTTTAAATAATGACAGAACGGTGTAAAAATAATGTAAACATAAACTTTTGTCGAAGTATCTTACATCATAAAAAAAAAACTAGGTTAACAAATTTAGAGAAAGACAGATAATTGATTATTGTGTGAATAATATGGAAAATTAAAAGGAAGTAACGAAAGCAAGACAGAAATGAGGGGAGAAAAAAAGTGAAAAGGGAAGAGAGAAATGACAAAACCAAGGACAGGAAAGGTGTGAACATATTGCATATTGCAAAAGCTATGCTATATAAGGACCGTTATAATCAATAACATTTTAATCATCAATTTATTGAGAAAATGACACACATTACTTAGGCTTATCGTGTATGGTTCGCTAAAACGGACTGTGTTTACTTTTTTTAGAACGAAATAGAATGTTCGTGTGAGAAAATAGCAATGGGAACTATGCAAATTATCTTACCAAATGGATACTTGGCAAGTGCATGAATGAAGTTGCTTGGTGTTCCAACTCCAGCTATATTTACAGCAGAAACACGGAAATCATACTCCTTATTCTCTGTGACGTCACTGATGACAATAGTACGCTCGACTATTGATTGTTTACCAACTGGCACCCATCGGGTACTAAATTTATCCCGACGCTCCACTATATATCCTGTAATTGGTGAACCACCGTCCGATTTTGGTTCTTTCCACTTTAATCCAATGAAAGTCGGTGAAATATCGGATACCACGAAGTTCGTAGGAGCATCTGGTGGATCTGAGAATTACCAATGTACTGATTAAAAGTTTGATTAAAATTACATTTAAACAATAATGGTTTACATATTTTGTAAGCGGTGTAAATCTACACATTTTGAGTACATGTGTAATGAACGTAGCAATAATTTTAATTATATATCTTGGGGCAATTCCTCTCGTTCGACATGCATGGATTCCCCGTTTGATTCCACACTACGACGAGGTCGTAGGACTAAAAAATGTTACTTTGCCGATTCAAACAATGTTAATGTGGTTGTCAATCTATTGTGTTTTAAAAGCACAACTGTGGTCCAACCAAGATAAAATCTCCCCATACGCAAACCAGGAATTTTTCGTAAACCTGATGGAGGCTAAAGGCATTCCCATAATTCTGACCCCTGTCAGACTTTTTGGAGCCAACAGTGCTCGGCGTACATCGATTTTGATAAGTCATTTATTTGTCTATAACTATTTTCTTACAAGATGTATTTTTTTAAATAAGGTTTTTACCGAATGGTAATTTAGCCTTTACATATGACGATCCATCGGAATGCTGACTAACTCCCGCTCCATTTTCAGCGGCAACTCGAAAACTGTATTCTTCACCCTTGGTCAGATTGGTTAACTTGTAGTCAAACTCTGAGCCAGAAACTTTTGCGAGCTTCACCCAACGTTTGCTTGATTTTTGATTCATTTCGATGTGGTAGTTTGTGATTGGTGAACCACCATCTGATGGAGTTTTTTCCCATACAAGTACCATTGATGTTTCAGTTACATTGGTTATTTTGGGAGGTGATGGTGGACTCGGAACATCTTAAAAAATAGAAATTTTAGTTGAGACTTGTTTTAAAAATATCATAAATGAAGTATTGCTATGAGTAAGTTAATAAAGCTAAGCAAATTTGAAGACGATTTTTAAAATCAATTAATGTAGGCATACCAATAATATAAAATTAAGAAAAAATTAATAAGATAAAAATAGAAATAAAAAATAAATAAGAAAATAAAAAAAACCTTTTAAATGAATTTACTACATTGCAGATGATTAATATTATATATATATATATATATATATATATATATATATACTTTCTTCAATTGCTTATATAAGTATTGATATTATTATTATTTTATTACTATTATTATTATTAATATTATTATTGTTATTATTATTGTATTACTATATATAAAAATTAGTACATCGGATTGTTAATGATGAGAAAATAAATGATGAAAATGAATGTTAGTGTTTTTGTTATATCTTTATGTTTTACTTTTAAACATTGATCATGTCATTTTGTCTGGTGAAAACTAGAACACAATTAAAAAAAGAAGAAATTAAATAAAAGTGGGAGAAATCCCACAAAATTGTAAATAAAATTAGAAATCATTTTTAAAATATTCAATATAAAAGGATAAAACATACCATAAGGTAATTTTGCCTTAGCTAGATTAGATGGCGGGCTAGCTTCACCAACACCAGCTTTGTTTTGAGCACTGATACGGAACTGGTAAGTGTTTCCTTCAACCAATCGAGACACGGTGTAATTTAGTTTACTTACAACGTTCTTTGAAGACTTCATCCAGCGACCACGATCTGTGTCCAAACGCTCGATAATGTAGCCAGTTATTTTTGATCCTCCGTCATTCTCTGGTTGCGTCCACTCCAGAGATATCGAGGAAGTGTTGGTGGTTATTATTTTTGGCTTACCAGGAGGTCCAGGAACGTCTGAATTTGCATAGCAATTATAAGAATACATATTATACGAAACAATAACGTAATATAAGGAAACGACATAAACCAAACAAAAATAACAAAATTAAAAGCAATAATAATAACAATATTAATAATATCATCATTATAATTATTATTATTATTAATAATAATATTACTATTACTATTAACAACAACAACAACAACAACAACAATAACAATAATAATAATAATAATAATAATAATAATAATAAGATCTGATACATGCAGTACTATTAGAAAAAAAATAAACGTATACATTAGGTTAGTCAAATCAAGGTAGCAAATCAGAGAAGTTGTAAATACTGCATAATTGAAAAATAACCTACTTTCATCATTCGATTTCTTTAAGTTAATTTGTTAACCAATTGTGCAAATATAAAATTTTAATATCATACGGTCAAACGTTCATTACCTTTTGGTGCGCCGTCAATCATGCAAATAGGACACATTAACTTTTTAAGTATTTTCAAAAATGCTGATAGTCTTATCCAATTTATTATATTACTGTAATGTAGTAAAATCAAGAGAAAATTATTAAGGTCATTATCGTGGAACATACAATGAATTTAAGAAATTAAACAAATATATACCATATGGTGGCTTAGCCTTGGTTGGTGGAGTAGCAGGACTTGACTCTCCGATTCCAGCGGCATTTTCAGCACTGACACGGAATATGTAGTTATTTCCTTCAACTAGATTTTGAACATGAAATGTAAGGTCAGTTATAATATCTTCTTTATGAGCTTTACTCCAGCGTTTTCGTTCTGGATCAGCCTTTTCCAGTATGTATCCAATGATTGGCGAGCCTCCATCACTTTTTGGAGCTGTCCATGTTAATGTCATGTGATTGGTGTCAACTTGAATTATTGCAGGTATACCCGGTGGGCTAGGGACATCTGCGGAGAGCAATTGTCATTAAACAATTAAACAATGACATTTTGAATGACTTCTGGAAACCACTTCGTAGCAATAATTCGATTGACATTTAGTACTGTTTCTCTCCTAGCATTTTCTGCATTGCGCCGTCTGTTTTAAGGTTTTTGTATAAACCTATGTTTTATTGAAGATATAAATGGAAAATAGATCTTATGATCAGCAACAAATGCTACTACAGCATGATCATAAGCTTAACCACATTCTAAGCTTCCATTATACAAAATCCATAATATTTCAGTTAGTACAGAACGCATTGGTATTTGAATCTACAAGGTACCAAGTTACGTTCCCGATTGAGAAAGCTTTGCCCAAGAAAACAAGCAAAATTTACAGCGAGTGGTTTGATCCTTATGTCTAGTATTTCTAAATATTTAAATAAATGCATCATTACATTCCTTTGGAAAATACGTACAGTAATTCACTCAGCAAATATTTTCACATCTGTCTTACCATATGGAGCTTTAGCTCTAGCCGTTTCAGAGGGTTCGCTTGGTTTACTCATCCCAGCCTCATTCTGAGCCAATACTCGGAACTGGTATTCAGTATCTTGTTTCAGGTCAACAACAACGTAAGATGTTTCTGGTATAGCTGTCTCCCTCACCTGCGTCCATCTCGAGCTAAATGTGTCCTTCTTTTCTATTATGAAACCTGTGATAGGACTCCCACCGTCGTTAGTCGGCGGTGACCATGTTAACGTCATTTGAGTACAGTCAATATTTATGACAGAAGGCGTGCTCGGAGGAGATGGGACATCTGTAATGGAATCAGAATCTCTGGTTAAAAGGGCAAACTTACATTAATTCAGATTTGTTTCTGTATATATCGCTTTCCTGATTATATCAGAGACAGATACAAAATCTATTAATTGCAAAGGAAAATCTGTCACAAGACTAGTCCAGATTAATGAGCTTCAATTATATTAGTCACCATTAAATTCTACAGAAACTTTGACAGAAACAATAGCCTTTTGTACATAACTGTTTATTGTTATTTGTAATAAATTCACTGTAATTTGATAAGCCTATGCTATAATGTTTCAAGATAACATTTACTTCAAATATCAAAAATATTACAAAATATAAAATATAAAATATTTCATGAAAATTAAAAGAAACATATAAATACTCCGATGACAAAGAGAAAAGAGAGAGGAAGATAAAAAAAAAAACCACGAGAACACAGAAACAGACGTCACCAATAAGTTGCAAATTTAGTCTCAGCGATTTTTTTTCCTGTTAGCATTAGAAATGAAGCCTTAAATCTGTAAATTTAAATCTTAATAGAAAGAGGATCGGTCCAAATGAGGTCACCTTTGTGGTGGAAAATGCCGAAGAAAGAAATTATTGCAAGTTTGGAGATTGTTTGTTGAAAATCTTTAAATGGCAGCGGCCTATTGCAGAGAGAGTGAATTGTTTTCAGCCTATTTTCAGTTTTATGGGAGATGAACCCACATAAACTGACTTCGATGGCAGGCAGGTTAGCAGTGTGTCCGGAGACTCAAATGTCGTTAATCAACGGGGCATACTTATTGGTACTTAAAATTGTGGCAGTTCCAATGCCCGTCTCAAATGGGATAGAGAGTTCGAGTTCGATTTAGGAAACTATAGGCATATGTGAGGGATGAATTTAGTAGTGGTAGTAGTTATTAGTAGTGCACCGTTGATGGATGAGGGACAATCGAGGCTCCTGGAACAAGGTCGGAACGGACGAAGTCTGAGGGCGTAAGTCACGGCATCAGATATACTGTGTACGGAACAAATAGCCCTGGAGAAAAATGGCTCTGAAAGAATGGCCCCCTAAATAAGTTAGGTAAAAATGTCTCCAATTTGCATAAGTTGGATTGTCCCTTGTTTTTATTTTTAAACTGAATACAAACACAATAACGATGTAGATAATGATGATGATGATGATGATGATGATGATAATGATGATGATGATGACGACGATGATGATAATGATAGTACTGTACAGTATAATTTTGATGACAATTACAGGTTAGGCCTATTAAATTTTATTACTAATTATTTTATTACTTTTTTATGGTTCCTGCAATAAGTAATATAAATGGCAACTTATTTAGGTAGATTATTTAAAAAAAAAGTTATTTTAGTTTTCAAAAATGCATGATTTATGTTAATTTATTGATTAATTCCCCCCCCCCCCAATTTTACAGCATTTAAATAGATTGAAGTTTTCAACTATAAAAAAAACCAATCTTATTACTGGAATTTTATCATTAAGTGAGCCATTTTTGGAGTTATTGATTTAATTCTTGCTATATTACGGAACTTAAATATTTAAAGGATTAAAAAAAAACCTTCTTATTACTGAATTTTATCATTGGGGCCATTGTTACCTACCTGTCATTATGGGGTCATTTTTACTGGGGCCATTTTATCATACAACCCATTTATTCATATAACCCAGACATACAAAATATCTCACTTGGGTCCAGTGAAGGTTTGCAAATATTAGGTGCGTTCTTTGTATCTTTGTCCCTGTAACTTAGTGCAACATGTATTGTATTGTATTGTGTACATTTAAGTAACTGCTTTTTTTCATATAAAGTTGTTTTATCAAGATGTTTGATTTATTAATAAAGTATTATATATTACTGTATGACCTATATATGTCTTATTACTTACTGTATGGCGATTTCGCTTCATGTGGTAATGAAGGATCACTGAATTGTCCTTGCCCAGCTTTATTCTCAGCAGCAACCCTGAATACATATTTAGAGCCTTCGTAGAGGCCTTCAACGATGTATGTTGTTCCTGAAATCGTGCGTGGAATCTTTGACCAACGCTTTAGTTCACTATCTTTTTTTTCTAATACGTATCCGGTAATCGGGCTTCCACCATCACATCCAGGATGTGTCCAAGAAATGGATAGAGTTGTCTTCGAGAAACCCACAACTTCAGGTATTCCAGGAGTGCTTGGGCTAGATGTGTATAAGAGACAGGGATTCAGTATTTTAATTCATTGTTTGTTGTAATTTGGTTTATCGCTACTTATATAATCACATTTTAGTACTTATACTTCATAATTTGTATAAGGTCTTAGTATTGACCCGGTTTGTTCGTATATTTAGTCTCTAAATTTAAATTTGCCTTATAGACAACTGCGGTTTATTTACCATGATTTCCCCTTCCAATTTTAATATCATGAATACGCATTTAACAGATCTGGTCGCCTACACCCTAAAAAGTGCAATATATATTTGACTTTTAGCAAATAGTGTCCTACCTGACTAAAAACAACTCACAAAATCACTCAAAATAATGAAAACTTACCAAATGGTTTTTTTGTTTGATGGAAATCACTCTGGTCACTAAAGGGACCTTGTCCAGCTTTATTTTGTGCTGCTATTCGGTAAGAATATTCAAATCCTTCATGTAGACTTGTATCCTTAAATTCCAGCTCAAATTTTGTAGTAGTAATGACATGAGCCCATTGTCTCTTGTTAAAATTACAACGTTCAACAATATAGTTAGTTATTGGGCTTCCGCCATCGCTATTTGGTTCTGACCATATTATTGTCATTTCTGCCCGGTTGATGTTCAGGATTTCTGGTTTTCCAGGCGAAGAAGGTGGATCTAGATATTCGATAATATTTTTGTTGTTAATTATTATAACGACAGCATCTTTATTACATTATAAGTTAGGTATTCAAATTTGTACTGTCTGCCAAAAAAATCGGAAAACCTTAAAAATTAAATTTGAATGATGTACTGCAGCTATTTGGGTAGATTGCAAATGTATAATTAAACAGTATGCTTACCATATGGAAGTTTAGCAATAGTAGCGTCTGATGGATCACTTTCAGGACCAAATCCAACTTTATTTTCAGCTTTGACTCGGAATTGGTACTCGGTGCCCTTGATTAAATTAGTAGCATCAATCGAGAGTTTTGAACTAGGGACAGACCCCACTTTAGTCCACAGTCTCGCAGAAGTTTCTTTCTTTTCTACAGTATAACTTAGGATAGCACTTCCAATGTCAGTTGAGGACTTGGTCCAAGTTATTGTCATTGAATTTGAAAAAACATTGCTCACGGATGGTTTACCTGGTTGGCCTGGAACATCTGTTCCCAAACATGAACATTTTATTAGGATAATGTAACAAGAAATTGAATAACAACCCTACGAATGAGTAGTGGCTGTAAATTTGGGATTTAAGATAAAGTAATATTTAAAATCATAAAGAAAAGAAATTTAAATCCAGTTTGTGAATAACGCGGTAATAATAATAGATAGATAAATATGCCACTAGACTTGCAATTTTTAAAAACTCATTCAAGTGAAAAGCTACTGATACAAAAACTACGTAAATTACCGTATGGCGCCTTGGCTGTAAACACTCCTGATGATTGGCTACATGGTCCTACACCTGCTTTGTTTTCAGCAGATACTCGAAACTCGTATACACAACCTTCAACAAGATCAGTCACATTGATTGTAGTTTTTATATTCTTTTGACGAGAAACCTTTAGCCAACGTGTGGATGTACTTTCTTTTCTCTCAACGATATAGTTTGTGATAGGACTGTTTCCATCAGACTCTGGAGGCGTCCATGCCACGGTCATAGATTTTTGTTGAATATTACTAACTTCTGGCATTCCAGGAACTCCCGGGGGATCTACATAATTATTAACAACAATTAAATTAGTGAAATAAAATGAATCAGTAAAGTGGAACAGAAAGTTAATTCTATTGAAAGTAAGTTAAGAGGGCGAGATAGTGTAAATATATTGATCAATACGTTTCTTGACCTAATTACCATGTTGTCTATAACATAATTTATAACGACATAAACCACAGTACATGTTTAAAACGTTAACGGAATAACTGTGACTTAGTAGTAAGCAGTCAAAATACATGCAGATAATGTATCTTACCATACGGCATCTTGGCAACACGTGAATCAGAGTGCTCACTCGCTTCACTGACACCGGCTTTATTTTCAGCACTAACTCTGAACACATATTCTACACCTTCTATGATATTTTTAACGGTGTATTCTGTTTCTGTAATAGGTGTCTTGTTTGCTGCAATCCAAATATTACGAGACACATCGCATCTTTCAATGAAGTATCCAATTATAGGGCTGCCACCGTCGGTTTCTGGAACAGCCCAAGACAGTGACATCGAAACCGTATCTGCATTGGTAACAACTGGTTTACCCGGCTTTGAGGGCACATCTTAAAGATAGCAAAAGGATATTTAGCTTCATATTATTAGACACATAGACAAAAATATCAGATAATAATAATCATATTTTTTTTTATAAACGAATTAATTTTTATTAATACTTGTATGTGTGGGGATAATTTAATCAGATAATTTAATGGAAAACTGTTGACACAAAAATTAGTAAGATAAAAAATACAGATAGATGACAGATGAGAAATGAATTGGAAAATGTGAATGCTCTGGAGTTTGGAAGTTGGATTGGATTTATTCGATATGAACACCAAGGATAAACAACAAAGGTCCAAGGAGTTATTTCTAGTGGAATCTTTCTGGTGGTGGTTGGGAAGTACATCGGGAAATTGTCCCCTACTGCGTTCTTTAACGTGCATATGGGTCATACTTCACACAGGACCAACAGCTTAAAGGTCTTTTTATACTGCAGCTGAAACACAAGGAAAGCAGCGGATAGAATAAGATCCAAAGTTCTATACGTTACGGATAACAGTTCCCACCCACTAAAATCACACACAAACCCGTAAAACAAAGATATCTCCACTCATTCGTACCACTATCCACCAGATTTCTTAATCAAAATATCAAAACTACTTTAGGGCCTAAATCAAAAATGTCTTAGGGCCTAATTATAATTAAATTGTTGTTGTTTTGTATTAATCTTGCATTTTGTTTTGCGATGTGATTTGATCTGATTTTCCGAAAAGACACAAATAAAGAATCTGAATCTTGAATATATAAAATAAAATGAAACGAGTGGCGACAAATAGTTTAGCCGACTGAGCTATGCTGCTCTCTCAAGAATGAACGAATGACACGATCATCCCAATTGGGCATTTCTTTAGAAGAGATGACAAAAGCTGGAAAAGCTCATCGGAGCAATGATGATTAAAACGATAATAAAGTAACCAAGCAACATTGCACGGATGAGCCAAATGTTCTAACATAGAACCAAGCTCAGGTCAATAATTCTTCATTAAATTTTATCTAATCTGATCTGATCATTTAATAATAATACTCAAACATTTATAAGGTGCCAATTCCAATAATAATCAAAGGCGCGAGCGTAATTACCCCTGGTCACTGGATAATATACAATGGCAAACCAGCTCAAAGTGCCTCTGCTCCCCGGGGAGTACCCCTATTCGTTCGCTACTTCTTTAGCGCACGTATCTATGAACATTCAATGCCACAACATCCTACCAGGTACCCATTTATACTCCTGGGTAGAGAGAGGCAAACGTAGATAAAGTCAGTGGTGGCGCCAGATGGGAGCTGGGGGCTACAGCAACCCCCCCCCCACCCCCGGTCAGGGAACAAACAAATAAAAAAAATACATATAATATTCGTTTAGCCACCTTATCGTTTTCGTTTGTGTTAACTTAAGTATTTTAATAATAATAATAATAATAATAATAATAATAATAATAATAATAATAATAATAATAATAATAATAATAATAATAATAATAATTCAATGAGACTAATTAAAAATAATTTGCGTTCTGTTATGGCAAATGCTCATTTAGATAGTCTCATGATGGTTGGAATACATTGTGATAGGTGAAGCAACCTCGACCATGACAACGTGGTTGACAGATTTCATGCAAAATTTCCAAAATATAGAATTTCACTTTCAAGAATGAGGATTTGAAAATAAATTAGATGGCTACATTGCATACTCTTTGTTTCTTGCTTTATTCAAAATGTTTTGGTTTTGAAAGCTGATTTCAACATTAGAAAGTATAGCCTCCATGAAGTCATATTATAGTAACTCGATGCTTATTAAAATAAGTATTAAAAATTCGCCATAATTCATCAAATATCCGTGGCTTCGCCCATTGAACCCCCACCGGGGGCCCTAGGCGGCCCCCTGGTCCCCAGCCAAGTGAGACTCGATTCGCTCCACTAGCGCCCCCGTCGGGGCCTGTAGCCCCTCCGTCAGGCAGGTCCTGGCGCCACCACTGGATAAAGTGTCTTGCCCAAGGACACAAGCAAATTGCACAGCGGGAGTTTCGAACCCCTGACCTCAAGGTTGGGAGTCCAAGCCACAATCGATGCGCAAAGCACTTCCATTTTACTATCGAGGCTTTTGGTGAGAAGTTGTCTGACGAATCGTTATTAATAATTAGAAGTTGATCGCAAAATAATACAATGTACGCTTACCGTAAGGTGGCTTCGCCTTTTGTAAATCCGATGGCTTACTTGGTTCACTCACACCCGCCTTATTTGCGGCAAAAACACGAAACTCGTACAATGAGTTTTCTGTCAGCTCCCCAACATTGAACGTTCTTTCTGTTAATTTTTTTGATGTAACCTTATTCCATCTCACTGAAAATTTATCCTTCTTTTCAATGATATAATTTGTGATTGGAGCGCCACCATCCTCTTCTGGTGCTGCCCATTTCACGGTCATTGAAGTGGCGCTTACATCTGATATCTCAGGTTTGCCAGGTGGAGACGGAACATCTAGTATGGTAACATATACAACATGAATTTTGAATTAAAAAAACTTGAAATAACTAAACATCTTAATAAGCTCCTACCGTATATTTTTAAAACATTAAAATTTTCACCTAGGCTTAGATAACATATTTACAATATATTTACAAACCCAGATAAAACTATTTGAATATTTAGTTATAATTGGTTACAATAGCGATCGTAATTGGATTAAAAACAAAAAAAAATTGAAATGGTTTAAAGGAAAACACTATCATTTTCTAAGAATACAAAATATAATGTTGTAATATTAGTACACAGACGTTACTTACCATATGGTGGCTTGGCCAGAAAAAAATCACTTTCATCACTGGGGATACCAGACCCGGCTCTGTTTTCTGCTTTAACCCTAAATTGGTACGTATCGCCATGGTTTAATCCTTTTATTACATATGACGTGTCAACAATTGAATCTCTTGTGGTTCTGATCCACTTCATGCTGGCCCTGTTTCGCATTTCAATAATGTAATTACAGATTGGACTTCCACCATCATCTTTCGGCTGTTTCCATGTCACTGTCATTCTGGTACTGTCTACATCACTAACCACTGGCTTTCCAGGGCATCCTGGCACATCTATTGACCATGAACGTAAATTGGGTGTATTCTCAATGATATTGACACTCTGAGCATTATCTTTTACCATACTATCACCTTCATTATATGAAACTCAAATAAAATTATCATCGCTTATCTTTTTTCATCATCATTATCATCATAATCATCATAATCATCATCATCATCATCATCATCATCATCATCATCATCATCACCATCATTATCAACACTACTGTTGCAATCATTGTCTTCAACATAACCACTATCTTTATTGACAGTAACGTCGAGGATATGGTCATCATCATAACACCATCATCATCCCAATAATACCCACCTTTACCAGCTATATACTTCTTATAGTGTGATCGTATACTAACCATAGGGTGGCTTTGCCAAAACAGGATCTGTTTGTTCGCTGGGTGGACCTCTGTGCAATTTGTTTTCTGCTGTTACTCTAAACACATATGTATTTCCTTGAAATAGATCAGTGATCTTGAATACGTTAGTAGTGACGTTGTTACGGTTAGCCTTTGCCCAGAGATTATTTGATATGTCTTGCTTCTCAACTATGTAGTTGGTAATTGAACTACCTCCATCTGACTCAGGCACACTCCATTTGATTGTAATTTCTGTGCTGTCCACGCTAGTAATCTCTGGTTTTCCAGGAGCCGACGGTGGATCTAGAAAATTTAATAATACATGAGGGATTACATATTTTTTTCTTCAACGGGTACCTGATTCTTTTATATAATATATTGAAAATAAGAAAACTCACATATTTTAGGAAAATAACCTTCAAAACTGATACATACTAATCTTATCCTTTGCTTCCATCATAGTAGATGGTATACTTGGTTTTCCAACGCCAGCGGTGTTTACAGCACTCACTCTGAACTCATACTTGGAGCCCTCTATTAAATCAGTGACAGCAAATGTCAATGAATTGACTATATCATATTTCGTCCATTCGCTCCTTCGTTCACGTTTTTCGACGATGTATCCTGTGATTACTGCGCCTCCATCAAAATCAGGGGGAATCCAAGAAAGGCTAAGTGACCTTGAGGTAACATTAGTAACTTCTGGTTGGGATGGAGAACCAGGAACAACTGCAAAATTATAACGAACATAAACTGACCAACGTCTAATGGTAAATTCCAATGTAAATCAGGTAGGCAGAACAAAAATGCATATGACTGCGTTTTGGAAGGAGAACGTTAAAGTGTGAATAATGTAAAATTAAAAGATTAATACAATTCAATTTGTTACAAGGGACTATTTACGCAACTTAAGACTGTTTACTTTTAACTGCAACTGTTCAAACTGTTCTCTGCAGTTGTGGCAAGTTTATATTAAACTTTATTAGGTGTATTATAAATTTTATTGCATTATTATTATTATTATTATTATTATTATTATTATTAAAAATGCGGAAAGAATCCGCGCATCATCGCATCAGTAAAAATGCGCATCAGAACATCATTTGCCAGCCCATCTATTATCTATTTAAGAAAAATACATCGCATGTAACTGTTGGGACATTTAGCACTGATCTTGTACACATGCTCATGGAAAGCAATTCATGTTTTACCCTAGCGTCGTGCATATCTTCACTGTCTGCGAATCAACTATACAAACTTTTAACAGGGATTTAATTCATTCGTCTTTGCAAAATTTAGCAATCGTCCTATTTAAAACGTTGTCTCGTGTAAACCGGATATTTAGATTCTCAACGGTATCAAGCTACAAACATACCGAATGGTGCCTTTAAATGTACTGAATCGGAGGAGTCACTCGGAGCACTACTTCCTACTGCATTCTCCGCCTTAATTCTAAATTGATACTCTCTGCCTTCGGTAAGTCCTGTCAGCGTAGCATTAGTGTCAAGCAAACGTTCATTATATGCTTTCTTCCACTGTTTTGCCTGCTTTTCTTTAGATTCTATGATGTAGTTCAATATTTTGGAGTTCCCATCCCATTCAGGTTCTTTCCATGTAAGCTTAACCGTAGTTGCCATGGTATCAAGCACAGTAGGCCTGCCTGGTTTGTCAGGAACGTCTACGAGAAAAGTGAACAGTTTATTAGAACTAGTACAGTCGGATCATTTCACAGTGGTCCCTATGACTCAACAAATACGTTTTAAAGAGGAATATATCAATTTATTATGTGAAAACTGATGTCATTCAAAATACATTATTATTATATTATTTAATGCATGCGCTTCGAATAGCAGTCGATTCTTGCAACACCATACACATATGGTGGAGCTGGCTTGGCAGTAAAAAGTAGTACAACCAATTGTATCGTAGAATTCTCTCTCTATGTGTTTTTGCCTACAGTTAAGATTTAGTTTATTTTCTTCTGTGAATTTTAATGTGATGTAGGGCGCATAGAAGAGCAGTTTTTATCACTGAGAGGCCTGTCTCACTGAAAGGAATGGAAAAAATTAATAAATACAGTACTTATGCTTAGCGTGTCCATACACAAAAGCTAGATATTGATGCTGTGGCTGAACATAATTATCGAATCTGCTAGGTACTTGACATTGCATTTTTGATCCAGCAGAAGGCATCTAAGCAAGTGTTCCATAATTTGCGGTTCAGTACCACACGTACAGTAATAACTCCAGAATCAATGCACTCCCATTTATTGAAGTTGACTTTGGAGCGGCCCGATGTCTGATCTTAATATGCAACACCAGGAAAACTGTTTTCTTTGGCAACTATAGACATAGTTATATATGTTGGAAGGTGGGCAAGTCTCTCTTCCCATAAGGCTACTCTGAAGTATTCATCTTCACTGGGTGTAACTTCATGATAGAAACTTTTTATCGACGTTAGCTGAATTTCTGCTGGTCTGTACAATTAAATAAATACAGTTAAAAAGCTATACTAAAAAAGACACTTACCGTGAGGTGGTGACGGTTGTTTTTGAGCGGACGGTTCCGAATACTTCCCAGCTCCGGCAAGATTCACAGCACATACACGGAATTGGTACTTGCTGCTCTCGATTAAATCAAGGGCAATCAACTTATTTTCAGGGATGGGTTCTTTCGTAACCTTTAACCAACGGTTGCGCCCAATCTCCATCTTTTCAACGATGTATCCTGTTACCGGACTGCCACCGTCGTTGTTAGGCGGCTCCCATGATATGTTCAGGCTAGTACTTTCATGTTCAGACAGACGGGGTGGGCTTGGAGCATCAGGTGTATCTATAAAAACAACAACAATAAGAAACAAAACTGGTAATATATAAAACATAATGCTAAATGGTATAATACCTAATAGCAGCGGTAATATTCATTATGCTTATATGATTGTAATCCATAATTTATTATTTTCAATTAATGTATTATATATGTGTGATATATGTGTGTTAATACTACATCATATATTTACCGAATGGAGGTTTAGCTATGATCGATTCGGTAGGTTCAGACGGTTCACCGTTGCCTGCTTTGTTTTGGGCTGTAACTCTAAATCGATATTTATCACCTTCATTTAAGCTTGGTACTACTAGCTCAAGATCCACACATGCTGTCTCGTTGACTGGTACCCATCTTGAAGAGTACTGATCTTTCTTTTCTATGATGTAGCCAATAATCGGACTACCACCATCAGATTCAGGCACACTCCATGATAATCCAATGTTGTCCTTGTCAACGAACTTTACTGCCGGAACCTTAATTTTTCCAGGTTTTTCTGTGAAAGATAGAATTATAAACACATTCAGGGTGATCTCCATTTTAAAAACTGTAAATTTGATAACCGACTGTGCGGCTATTTCTTGGTAATTAACAATACATCATTATGAAATACTGTTATTTTATTGTTATTTGAAAGCATATTAAAAAATATGACCGATTAGTATATTACAACAATCGTTGAGTGTTACCTACTTACCATAAGGTGGTTTGGCAACAGTTGACTCCGAAGGTGGACTTGGTTTTCCAGTACCAACTTTATTTTCAGCCAATACCCTGAATTCATATTCACAACCAGACTTAAGATTTGTAATTTCCAATTCTCTATCAATGATTCTTTCTTTATTGACTCTAACCCATTTTGCCGAGAACCTTTCTTTACGTTCAACATAATATCCTGTAATTGGTGTACCTCCATCCGATGAGGGTGCATTCCACTCTATAACTATGAACGTTTCGTCCACTTCTACAACCTCAGGTCTGTCTGGTGGTCCAGGTGGATCTGGGAATGCAAATACCATAATGCATTATTTTTTAATATGTCATCGTTATATTTTCATCAACAACAAATCAAAGCACCGACTAAAATAAAATTAAGACATACCATATTTAGATTTAGCTTTCATGGCGTCTGATTCTTCACTTAGAGAGCTGGTTCCAGCCATATTCTGTGCCTGCACCCTAAATGCATACATTTTCCCCTCAGAAAGCCCAGTAGCAATGAATTCACACTCAGTCACTAGTTCCTTGTTAGCTTTTATCCATCGATTACGAGCTGTGTCGCGTTTTTCTATGTTATATCCTACGATCGGCGCACCGCCATCATTCGAAGGTGGTGACCAAATTAAGGTCATCTCCGATGCATCGACAGATTTTATGGTTGGCTTTCCCGGTGCTTCGGGAACATCTAAACACATTAATGAATGGTAATGTAATAATACTATTCACAAACGAGACTAATCAATGTTTTATTTCACCGCTTTTAAAGATATATATAAATATATAAACATTCTGGGACACTTGCTTACAGAGGCACGGCAAGATTCAGAAAAAAAGAACAATATCAAACATTATCAATTTTGATTAAAATTTCGTTCTAGAGGACAAAAATTATTTCCTTGGAGGTATCATATTTTTGGAGGTCAAATAATCTATCAACGCTCATACATATTCCATGAAAATAATATGTAAGCGGTGGCAAGGACAAGTTTCAAAATACTTATTATTTACAGCACTAACTCAACATAGTATCTTTCTCTTACCGTATGGTGGTTTGGCAATCCTGCTCTCGGAAGAATCTGACGGTTGGCTCCTTCCAGCCTTGTTTACAGCAATGACTCTAAATATGTACTCATTTCCAGTTTTCAGCTTTTCTGCTTTAAAATTATTTTCTGTGACAGGATCGATGGTTGCTACAACCCACCTCAATAAAGATTTATCCTTTTTCTCAACAACGTAATTTGTGATTGGACTGCCTCCGTCAGATTCCGGTGGTGTCCATGAAATGGTAATTTCTGTTTCGTCAACTGAATCAATATGAGGTGTTCCTGGTACACTAGGCACATCTAAAAACAAAACCGTTTAACATTTTAGAAATTACTTATTGGATCAACTTCATGTTTTTCTTCATATTGTTGGGAATTATACATATTTATATTTATTTTAGTCATAAGCTGTATTATGATGTAATGTAAGAGTAACTGTTTGAAAACTAGAAAACAGAAAAAAAAGATGTAAAACAAACTAGACCTTTGTGAATATTTATGTTCTTATTAAGGTAGTGGTCAATCACACTTAATTTCTTAATACGGTGTAGTGTCATATATTAGTCTAGAAAACAACCATATGTAAGACCATATGAGTGTTGAAACTATCTTTCTCATGGTTAATTTACAGATATTTTACTATGTCTAAAGCGTATTATCAGCCAATTTAATGGTCTATGTATAAACAATATGAACGATAGACCTATTATGAATCCGTTCATTAGAATGGATATGTTTTTTTCATGTATATTTTGAATTAAAATCTAAGTTTCTAGATTATTACAAAAAAGGTCTATAAACTCAATGTCGTTGAAAAAAAATATTTATTTTATTTCATAAGCATCATTGTAATAACTGAATTAAATCCTTTAAAGCAAATATTAAACAACAAAATTGTAGTTTTTCTCACGAATTCGAAAAATACTTATAAAGGGCCCAATTGCTTTATTAGATATAAAGATATATATAAATTGATATATAAATTTCGACTGCATGGATGATGATGACATTTTTTTTCGATGGGATTTATTAAAAACTAGTTTTTCTGTTCGTTCGTTCGTTCGTCTTCTCGTTCAGTTGTTCATTTATTCTATTTTATTAGTGATCGCTACACGATACGCACTCGTGTCATATTTACTAATTCTTTATGTATGGGAATTTTCTTGTGCTGGATACACTGTCCTAATTATTTTAACTGTTTAAAAAAGCATATCACAAAAAAGTAAATCACATTAAAGTAACTTTGATACGGAGCTACACCTCCACTGGTTTAAGATATATTCGAGAAAAACGTATGTTCCCATCGGGATTCGAACCCAAGACTTTCCGATTACCGTAATACGCATTGAATAATAATAAATCACATGAAAGTAACTTTGGTATGAAGATACACCTCCACTGGTGTTTAAAGACGATAAATATCTTTATTTTTTTTGCATTGCCGGCGCCTTCAACATGGTGAAGATTATGCAGCTTGATATGTGTTAGTGTTGACATGGCTGTTTAAAGTTATTATTATTATCTTATCCTTTGACCTTTTAATAGTATTTATTTATTACATAAGTAGAACATTATTCATATTCATATTACATATCTATTTTCGTTTGTGCGTGTTTGTCTATGTTTTTTTTTTTTTTTTTTAATATTTTATCATTTTATTATTAAAATGACTATCTTTATGAATCTATGACATAGCAATGCTGATTCAAAAATAGCAAAGAAGACAGCAAAGTGTGTTACATCTCAGGGTAGTATGAGGAATGACAGACATGTATTGTAATTGGTTACGTAGAAGAGTTCCTCATAGCGAAGATGGTGCATGTCCATGTGGATTTTGTAAGGCGACGCACATTCGGGGCATCATAAAAAACCGTATTAATAATTGCCTGTCAATACTGGAACTTATTAAACAATTTAGCCTCCCGATCTCAATGGCGGACCACTTCAGGAAGTCTAGCATGTCATGTACGCTTGATGTTCTCCTATTTTCGCCTTGTCCTTGGCGACGTATAGGGGTCGCATACAATGCATGCATACTCGAGTATCGGTTAACTTAGACCTTGTATGCAATTTACTATGAACTCTTGCTCCCTATCCTAAGAAAGACTTTCTCTGAAACAAAGGGTTGTATTGGGTTTTTCTTCGATGTGTTCCATTACTTTACATGCAACACTGGTTAGCGTCATAAGCCCATAATTTGATAGAAGGTTTCTTTCATTCCTTTTGAATACACGATTACATGTGCTGACTTCCATTCTCTTGGTGCAATGCCGGTATTGATTAATGCTTGATATAGGAGTCTAACAAAAAATTTACAACGGAATGAAAAAATAATTGCTTACCGTATGGAAGTTTGGCGATAGTGGGTTCGGAGCTCTCACTCGGATTACTTGACCCGGCCACATTTTCAGCAATTACTCTGAATTCATATTTAGTACCTTCTATTAGGTCTGTGACTACGAAATACGGGTCTCTAATCGATTCTTTTGTAGCTTTTACCCATCGGCCTCCGGTTTTGTGCTTTTCGATTACGTAGTTGGTAATTGGTGAACCTCCATCATTTTTAGGAGTCCAAGAGAGCGTTATTTCAGTAGCATCAACAGCTTCAATAACAGGCTTAAATGGTGCATCCGGAACATCTGTAAATTTTATTGACAATCTCAATTTTTATGTTTATTTTAACGGACACTAATCTTTTGAAAAGAAAAACAAAGTTATAAAATTGGAGAAACTTAAACAGGTAAAAAGTTTTTAAAAATAAACTGTCAACTTGGGTAAATTCGATGATACATGTTGCATAACTTACCGTAAGGTAGTTTAGCAACAACACCGTTTGACGTCTCGCTTGACGGGCCCAGTCCTGCTTTGTTTTGTGCCATGACACGAAATTCGTACTCGCTGCCTTCTTTGAGGTCATTTACGTCCATTATAGTTTTGTTAATCGGTTCTCTGTTGACTCTAACCCATTGGTTTCGTGATTTGTTTAGTTTTTCGACAACGTAGCCAGTAATTATGGCACCTCCGTCACTTGTCGGTGGAGTCCATGTAAGTGTCATTGTGGTTGTGCTGACGTTGGATATCTCTGGTTTGCCAGGTTTTCCTGGTGGATCTATCCAAATACATCGATTTAAATTATGCATTAACATTATTGAAATAATATCAGTTGTTGAATTATACACTTTAACACTGTAACATTAACTTTTTTTACCATATTATTTTGACATGCAAATGGTAAGAGCAAATTCTTTAAGATAAAAATAACTCAAAATCAGAAATATTACAATCATTACACACACAATTAATATATAAAATAAGATAATTGATCTATGACAGATGGCATCTGGATTTGAAAATATTGTGTGTACGTATTTAATTAATGTATTTAATTAATGTATTTAAATAAGCAATGAAGTTAAACAATAACTTTATGTTCATTTTAACGGACAGTTATACTTCGAAAAAAAGTTTTCATGTTATAAGAAAGGACGAAATTCAACAGTAAATTTTGTTTATTTGTCAACTTCTTTAAAATTCGATAATATGAATTAAAAAAAGACGATAGTGACAATTATTTATTATATTATATTATTATATCATAATACATTATATATTATATATTATTATATCATAATATTGCAGTGATAAAAAAAAAAATTACAATTTCATTAAAAAAAATGAAGACATTACCGTAAGGCGGTTTCATCAAAACGACATCGGAAATGTCAGAGACAGGTCCCGCACCTGCATGGTTTATTGCAGCAACTCTAAATTCGTACTTTTTCCCTTCAACCAAGCCTTGAACATTGTAAAACGTCGTTGATATCAACTGTTTGTTAACCTGCAGCCACTTGTCACGGCTAACGTCACAACGTTCTACAATGTACCCAGTTATTGGACTACCGCCATCGGTTTTTGGTACAGACCACTTCAACTCCACATCCGTTGCATCTACTTTAACTATTTCTGGTTTACCACATCGTCCAGGAATGTCTTTATTCGATAAAGATAAAAATAGCATATGAATGTGTATTCATCAGCTGTATAGCATTGGTAATTACTTACGAATTAATCATTACTTACCGTAAGGTGCCTTGGCTACATAAGCATCTGTTGCATCGCTGGGAGGACTTGAACCAACTTCATTCAGGGCCGATACCCTGAACTGATAAGAAGCACCTTCCGTCAGACCGGTTACAACCGTAATGCAGTTTAGGAGAGGTTCAGATGTTACCTTGCTCCATTTCAATGATACATTATCCTTTTTCTCAAGGATGTAGCGTGTAATTGGACTTCCACCATCAACTGGAGCTTGCCATAACACTGTCATTTCTGTACTCTCGATAGTTGACACAGTGGGTACTGATGGTTTACCTGGTTCATCTGAAATAAGTATACAGTAATGATAATTTAATATGAATCAAAATAGCCTTTCAATCATTGTCTTAATTGCAAGACAGTCTAATCCTCACTTCGTGCATTTTTAATAAATGTGCCAGCTATAAAGATATTTTTTAAAATTATTATCATCATTACCATTATGATCATCATGTATTATTACAGAATATTAAAAATCTTATAACATATTCAGTTGAAAAAGATCAGCGAATGTGATGGAAATGTCCAGGTAATTACCGATGTTATTTAGTTCAATCATAAGTTGAACATCAATATTGTTATCATCATCGCGCTATCCTATTCATTATCAGCATCATTTTCATCATCGTCATATGTATTATCATTATTATTATTGCCGACTCACAATATTCATCATCACAATTATTATCTTTTTCATGTTTTAAAATTAAAACAAAATATAATGTACCATATGGAGGCTTTGCCATGTAACACTCAGAGGCTTCGCTAGCAGGCCCTTTGCCAGCATCGTTTACAGCAATGACTCTGAACAGGTACTGATTCTTTCTAGTCAATCCAATGATATTGCACGTCGTTTCACGCAGCTTTTCTTGTGTTGCTGCAACCCAGCGCGTGGAGGTGTTTTCTCGCATTTCAAGTATATAATGCTTAATTTCATTTCCTCCATTAACAGCGGGAGGGGTCCACTTAACCGTCATTTCCGTGCTGTCAATTTCCGTTACCTCTGGAGGATCTGGTGCCCCTGGCACATCTGTTTAAAGGAGATGAATATAACACTTCTTTGGAACGATTATTATAATCATATTTGTTATTCTACCGGTATATCTTACAAATCTTACATTTGTATCCAAATTATATATTAACAATATAAGATGGTAATTGTATAGTTAATATAGACACCCACCGAACGGTAGCTTAGCAACAAGTGTGTCACTTGCTTCACTACAATTGCCTATTCCAGCAGCATTTTCCGCAGACACTCGAAATTGGTAACTATTCCCGTCTAAGAGATCAGTCACAGTGTATACGCTGTCCAAAACAGGTTCCTTATTTGTTTTCACCCATCTCCCTCTGGCAACGTCACATCTCTCAACAATGTAACTGGTAATTGGAGATCCGCCATCATTTTCCGGTGATGTCCAGTTAATCTTCATAGTTGTTTTGTTTATATTTTCTACTGTTGGCTTTCCTGGTGCATTTGGGACGTCTATGAAAATTACATTTTTGTAATTGTAGAATCAACATATAATCATTAGAAGAAATATCAGTAAATATTTTGATGGTGATTCCCTAAATAAGGGTACCAATGTCAGAAATACACATACACAATATAACATGGGTGTATGCAAAGGGCGGTCGGGAAGGTCGTACGACCCCACCCCCAACTTTCAAAGGTGCTCATTTTTTTCTAGGGCCTTTTGACAATGACATAAATGAAAAAAGCATTGAGGTACCAGCAGTCCAAAGACCTTGCCAATTGCGTGACTTAATCTATCGCAATTCCAGCAATTCTCTAAAACTGAGCCTGCCATCCGTTTCAAGCAAATTGTATTGACATTTTAATCACATCTTGCTGTTATTTAATTGTGAAAAGGTAAAAAAAAAAATCACGACCCACCCAGAAAAAATCCTGGTTACACCACGGGCTAGACTCAACAAAACACCAATTCGATTTATATAATCCTTCTTATAAATTTAACATGTGTTACAGGAATATTGAAATGTTCACAACGATGCACATAGCTAGGTATTGAAACAATGTATCATGCTCTTTACAACAGTGTTAAACACACAAAAACAAAGATGAGTTTAAAACTGGGCTTTGACAATATTTTTAATTGACATTAAAATGCATTTAAAAAGCCAAACAAGCACAATGACAATCGGATATCAGGGTTGCTTGGTATCTTTTTATACTCACCACATGCATTTTGTTGGGTAAAATAATAACCATTTAGGTAAAATACATAATGCAAGATAGCTAATTATACCTTGAAAAATTATTTTTTACATCGATATATGACTGAAAAAAAAAATCAAAAAAATGCGCACATACCATAAGGTGGTTTAGCAACAACTGCTTCCGATAAGTGACTTGGTTTACTTTTACCCGCCTCATTCACAGCATACACACGGTATACATAGTCATGTTTCTCAACGAGGTCTGTACATGTAAATGCACATTCCGTTGTCTTCTCATCGGTTATGGTAAGCCAACGCGTTGAGTTTTTGTCCTGACGCTCGACTAAGTAACCAATGACAGGACTACCTCCATCGTATTCAGGTGGCATCCATTTAACTGTCATGCAGTTTCGATCAACATTTGTTATTGTCGGAGTTCCTGGAGGATGTGGCACATCTGTAAATATTCAAAAATCATGGACACAAATAAAACAAGATAATTTGGCACAGACACAAACACACAGACGCGCACTATTTCAATACCATTCACTTCTCCTTCGGAGAGAAGAGTGTACCGGTAATAAATAATATTCCGTTTAAAAATATCTGTCTGTCATGAGCTAAAAACAAATTCCATATTCGAAATTCCATATTTGAAGTGCCTATTCTTTCATATTTAAGAAAGTTTTAAAGTTACAATAAAACATTATTGAAGAAAATTCTTTTGCATTATTAACCCGATCATTAAACTGGTTTTTATTAAATTTAGGGATTTTTGTTTTGTAATAGAATGTCTGTACATAACTTATAAGCGATTTTTTTCATTTGTATTTGATCGATTTCAGGTTAAAAGTTAAAAATGAATGTCAGTTTAAAAAGTGCATCTAAATGCGTTTACTTGTTAATATATATATATATTAGTTATAATTGACAAAACTACAGTAAATATACTGACATTGTAATAATAACATAATTCTCACTTTCTCGTTTTTCGATCAATCTTTTCAATACTTTTATTTGATACTGACGATGACACAAAAAACTTATTATATATTTCGATGGTTTGTTTATGGTGAATTTCTAAACGACATGAACGAAAAACGGTGAGTCAGAAAACCTGTGTATTGTTAGATCATCTGCATCTTTCCCTTATACGGCCAAGGTTAGAAAGAACTACAGAATATTGTAACGTTTTACATATAATTTTTAATGAAATAATCCTGAAAATAAATATACCAAATTGATGTTTGGCAACCACAGCATCTGTTGCTTTAGAAGGCTCACTGTCTCCATGTTGGTTTGAAGCGATAACGCGGAACATATACTCGTTTCCTTCGATAATCTTAGTTATATTCATCGATAAGTCAGTTGTATTACCAGCGGACAACCAATTATCTCGTTTCATATCTCTTCTCTCAACAGTATACTTGGTAACTGGACTTCCTCCATCATCAAATGGTACATCCCAACTTAAGCTTATACTCTTCGGGGTTATCTGACCAATCCTTAGGTTTTGCGGTGGTTGAGGTGTATCTGTAAGTCAAATATAATATACACACAATCAAAATCCCTATGATATCGTGTGTCATTGTGAACAAAGAGAAAATAAACTGAAAACATATTTTATTTTACCCAGAGATACCAAGTTCACTTACACTATTAAATCTACATCAGTTTATTAGAATAGACACTTGGTTAATGCTGTATTTTCCAGTAAGAAGATGTAATGTTTTGATCTGTTCATAGATCTGTTCCGTTCCTTCTATAGACACAGAAAATCTAACTTTGAGGCTTTGTCTCTGGATCCACAGGTTTTGTGTTGGTCAAGTAAAGCTAATTCACACAATTATGGAATCTCCGACACTAGGCGTTTACATGCTTTAATACCAGTATCCATGACAAAAAGTCACCCCTAAAACGTTTCATTTGCAAATTTTATTAGTGTGGACCAAATATTGGAAAGTCTTAAATTTTTTTTTCTTAAAGTTTTAAATTTTCAAATATATGAAAGCCATTATTATACCTTAAATCACGAAAAACCCCACAATTACAGTAACTAAATAATACTAACGTTTCCAAATCAACGTTAAATCAGTCGCCCTTAAAGCTAACATCCTCTAGTTTCAAGTACATACACTATATTTTTGAATTAGATAAGTTTTGCTCTGCAGCGTGCTCTCGTTCCCTCCGGACAACATCTGACCTAGGATCACTTGATTGTCCACCCTGGCGATTGAAGTCATATGGGGAGCGTACTTTTATGGTCGATGCACCTAAGATGTGGAACTCGTTTCTTTTGCTTATTCATGAATCTACTGATTAAAGACTCACCTATTTGTGTCTCTTTAAATTGTATTCTACACCTGTGTTTTATTTTAATGCTAGTGAGTTTTGTTAGCTTCAATAAGGATAGGAGGCGTGCGAGTCCGAGATGTCTGAGACTCAACTGCCCAGTTCACTTAGATCAATCCCTGTTTAGAGACGAGGGCGTATCCCCATACTGCGGTGTGGTACTGGCGTGGCTAGTGAACTTTCATTTTATTATTTTATTTCTTTTGTCTAAATTCTATATCTTCTCTACATTTGTTTTTACAGAGCATAGATACATTTTTTTGTATATTGCGCGTAACAAATTTTAGATCTATTGTAACCGATTACGTTTTAAAACAGGCTGCGTTCATCATTTGCATTTGGGAGACTCAGAAACAGTGTGTTTTATTCTCGGGAACTGACAGCAGAAACCAAGATGAAAGTTAACAACCAATGTCCAATGCCATTAGCATTATTATATGAAAGTGAGACTTGGACTTGTACTATCATCAAGTCAACTTGCGCACTACTCAATAGAGACATTCGAGATCATCAGTTATCAAGGTTTAGTGGGGCGATTTCATCAGTAACGACCAAGTTTTAAAACTACCTGTTGTTGAGGACATAAAGCTGAAACCTATTAGGAATAGGTTGCGCTAGATTGGCTATGTAGCAAGCATAGATGATAAAAGACCATGTATGGATATTATATGTATAATGTATGGACAACGTTCCAGTGGTTCAAGATCAGTTGGATGTCCTAATCTAAGGTTTAAAAACACTTGCAAAGTGTGCATTTAATGCGGAAATGCACTTGATAATTGGAGCACAATTGTGAACAATCGTTCAAATTGGAAAAATCAAACTTATAAACAATACATACAAAAGTATTGATTTGAAAAGAATAGAGCTAAAAAAAAAATTAAAAAGAAAAAAAAAGAAAAAACAGAGCCAGAAGGAAAAAATAAGAAACAAGCATAGTCACAGTCATATAAATATTTATATAGCGCCTTTCTTTGCATATACGAAGCGCTTCTGTCTCTGGATCCACATACTTAAGTGTTGCTGCTGTATTCAGCGCAGGAGCAAGCAACCCCACCAGGTACCCATTTATACTCCTGGGTGGAGAGAAGCAATTCAGATAAAGTGCCTTGCTCAAGGACCCAAGCGAAATGCACAGCCAGGGATTGAAACCCCGACCTCAACGTTGGGAAACAAAACCGTGACAGGGAAGATAGGCGCCATATATATTCAATTCGTTCGCTTGTAAATAATTATGTTACAGGCCTAAATTAAAATTCGTGATTTTGAATAGATTGACTTACCGTAGATATCTACTTCAAATGAATCAGTAGCCATGCCAACATGATTTTCTGCAGTTATAATGTATTTACCACGATCTTTTCTGTTTATTTCCGAGATGTTGATAGTTGATTCTAAACACATACCCTTTCCTGTTGTGATTTGAATACGACCGGACGATTCTAGTTGTTCTTCACCAATGCCCCAACAGACTGTTGGGGAAGGAGCACCTGTGATGTTTCCCTTTACTGTTAATTTCTTTCCAGCCTTGATGGATAACTTTTTGAATTCATCATCGATTTTCACTGTAGGTGTTGCTATATAAAAGTATATAAAAACATTATTATTATTATATTAAGATGGTTTAATATGTATGATCTAGACTACGTATTTTCAAAAACATTACATCCATATTATTCACCATCCTAGCGCCGGGCAGATAGAGCTCGTTTTTCCTGAAAGGTAGCACACCTAGAAGACAGCCACTCTGATTTCAAACTCGGGCTGATGGACCACAGAGTTAAGCGCAGACCATCGATGATTCCCGGTTCTCAACTAGCCAGTAGCTAACTTGATTTCCTTGTTGACATCCGGAGAGTATCAATGCTCCCGCGCAAAGCATGTAGGCACATTAAACACCACGCAAGCTTTCCTCATCCCAGAAGATGATGATGCCCTGTCGATATCGAACGGTCACCACGACGACGACGATCGACATTAATGTTATTTGACATTGGATTCAAATTTTTATATGTAAGTTGAATTGTATGTTATCAATTATTGCGTTGATGTAAATCGATACTGTTGTTGACATAGTTTCTAAAAGAACAAATATTATCTTTAAAAGTGATAGGAATGTCAAAAGCATTAAAATTAAAAGCAAATCTTCACCTTCTAGGACCAGGTCAGCATGACACTGTTGGTTATCAACTTCTGCTGTGTATTCGGCATCATCGTCGAATGAAACATCCTTGACATTAAGTGTGTACGTTATTCCTTCCTGCTTCAAATCATACTTATTACTTTCTTTGATGGGCTTACCATCTTTCATCCACCTGAATCTAACATTTCTTTTGTTGACAATGCATGTGAATAATACTGATTCACCAGGACTGGCTATCACTTCTTCGGGACCTTGTAAGATCTGCATGGCTTTATCTGAATAGGGATTTGGATAATCTCACAATGATTATTCTTAATAATATTAGTGTAATTCAAACAAGAACTAGGCCTATATTTACACTTGCAGTGTATTTTTAGAGAAAAAAAAACAAAGAAAATGGATGATGCTCTATCATCAGTTTTACTTCAGTGACATTAAGTTGTAATTTTGCCGAAACTACACTACTGCCTTCCTCTTTGGAGGATATAATAAGAAACATATGAACACAATTAAAAAGGCACACAGACATAGGCTACACGAGTGATATTGCATCAAAGAAGGCAGGAATAGTCTTAATAGTCTTTGTCTTTGTATCAAGTTAAAATTCATGTCTTTAGCTCTGTTATGCTCAATCGGCAAACTTTATTTATAAGAGAATTATAAATGAATGACATTGTCATAGAGATAACTTGAAGTATTATTCGTTTGATTTTGTTACAGCCTACAGAGTTGCTCATATCAGTATGCTAATTACATGATGAAACTAGATGACGATGCTCATATTACTTACAGTCATCCACTTAGTATATTCTGAAGCATTATTAAAATAAACCTGATGAACGTATATTTATAAAATATATGTTTATAGGACTATCTTTACCTTTAACTGTTAGCTTAGCATAGGTGCGTTTTCCCGCAACAACAGCAATGTACTCTGATTCGTCGCCTAACTCTATATCGTTTATGATTAATGAGTGTTTTTTGCCATCCCTGACCATTTGATATTTTTCACTAGGCTGGATCTCAACACCGCCTTTCATCCATTTAACATCGGAAGTTTCTTTGTCAAGGACACATGTAAGTTGTACGTGTGTGTCCTCTTCCATACAGCATATGTCGTTTGGAGCT